ATTATAGTCTAGTTGAACTTTGTCTGTATAGGTACAAAATGTACGTCTGTTCTATTCCAATAATTGATTAATAATTTTCTGCAAAAAATAACATTAGCAACCTTACCCAGTGATATTACCTCGGCGGCTTGGTAGCCACATTTTAGTCCTGGACCATCCATGAGATGCTGGGCAATCACCTGTACCGTCATACAAGGTCGATCTTTTTTGGCCAACAAAATGAAAAGAATTGAATTATTTTTTGTCTTTAAATTTATGGCTATAAAACACCAATATATTCTACAAATGGCTGAAACTTATAAAGAGTTTCATGGATCTTATTTAAGGAGGGCGATGAACCCTAGGGACAAAAAGCCTTGTCCCTGCATAAGTTCTAAGCAGTAAATACAAATAAATCAGATGAATGTCAAAATACGTACTCTGCTGTGAAATACGACGTATACTTAACTCAGGAAATCTTTTTTGAAGTTAAGAGCAGATTAGTTTGTATTATAAAAAATGCGTTACTTATTTCGAATAAAAACTATGCACAAGGGACCTCAAATGTTTGTAAATGACACTTCAAGATTTCAAGTGAAGTTATATTTCCAAATGAGTATACAAAATGGTGGGGCCTACGTGGGGCAGTTGGCAGGTACATTATGTGCTGGCCGTTGGTCGGTGGTTTTTCTCCGAGAATTGTTGCTTTCCTCCACCACCAAAACCTGGCACGTCCCTAAGTGACCATAGATGTTAATAGGACGTAAAACACAAACAAACCAAACCAAAAGCAGCCTTAGCAGATAAATTGTAACATGGATTTTTACCGCTGGTGTTGGCCATAATACCTACAAAAAGGCAAAGCTATCGTGATCTGACGGTCCAGTCATAACCAGCCTCAAGATTATCAATCGGTTTTAGACGTAAAATGAGTTTCAGTGTCAATATAAGTTCTTCGATGAAATCGTCCATTATTAGAGCCTTAATTTAAATCTGATTTGTGGGGAAAACATTCGAACACTAATAAGAAAGTTAACACTAGGAAAAGACAATCAGTCAATCAAACAACAACAAATATAATCGGTCAGTCCTATAGCTATAGGGGAATCTAGTCAATCAGTCAATCAAACAACAACAAGAACAATCGGTCAGTCCTATAGCTATAGGGGAATCTAGCCAATCAGTCAATCAAACAACAACAAAAACAAAAGGTCAGTCCTATAGCTATAGGGGAATCTAGACAATCAGTCAATCAAACAACAACAAATATAATCTGTCAGTCCTATAGCTATAGGGGAATCTAGCCAATCAGTCAATCAAACAACAACAAAAACAAAAGGTCAGTCCTATAGCTATAGGGGAATCTAGCCAATCAGTCAATCAAACAACAACAAAAACAAAAGGTCAGTCCTATAGCTATAGGGGAATCTAGTCAATCAGTCAATCAAACAACAACAAGAACAATCGGTCAGTCCTATAGCTATAGGGGAATCTAGACAATCAGTCAATCAAACAACAACAAAAACAATCGGTTAGTCCTATAGCTACAGGGGAATCTAGTCAATCAGTCAATCATACAACAACAAAAACAATCGGTCAGTCCTAAATCTACAGGGGAATCTAGTCAATCAGTCAATCAAACAACCACAAAAACAATAGGTCAGTCCTATAGCTATAGGGGAATCTAGACAATCAGTCAATCAAACAACAACAAATATAATCGGTCAGTCCTATAGCTATAGGGTAATCTAGTCAATCAGTCAATCAAACAACAACAAATATAATCGGTCAGTCCTATAGCTATAGGGTAATCTAGTCAATCAGTCAATCAAACAACAACAAGAACAATCGGTCAGTCCTATAGCTATAGGGGAATCTAGTCAATCGGTCAATCAAACACCAAAAAAAACAATCGGTCAGTCCTATAGCTACAGGGGAAACTAGTCAATCAGTCAATCAAACAACAACAAAAACAATCGGTCAGTCCTATAGCTACAGGGGATTCTACAGGGGAGGGCCCATGTATAAACAACGCGTCTGTTGAAAGGCCGAAAGACCCTAAAAGCTGACGTAAAACCGTCGAGATAAAAAACCTCAAAGTCCATGTTTACACAAGGAGAAGACTAATTCACGATTGCTCAGTTATATCCCATGGATTATCATTTCAATCCACAATGCATTATGTGTAATTCTACCTAGTAGTTACGTGTACACTGCACTCTTAATGTGTTTTGTGTCATATTTCTACACAGTGTGTGCATGCAATATTTTTACAGTTATGCATGATGTGTCAATATATACGTATACATGTAAGTCAGAGGACAAACTAAAAAACGTCTACCTGAGGATCCACTGCACGATCTATCAAAGGATCGGTTAACCGCACAGCATATCTTAGGATCAACCGCACACAGCCTATCAAATAATCAACCGCACACAACATATCTTAGGAACAACCGCACACAACCTATCAAATAATCAACTGCACACAGCCTATCTTAGGATCAACCGCACACAGCATATCTTGGAGTCAACCGCACACAGCATATCTTTGGATCAACCGCACACAGCATATCAAATAATCAACTGCACACAGCATATCTTAGGATCAACCGCACACAGCATATCTTGGAGTCAACCGCACACAGCATATCTTTGGATCAACCGCACACAGCATATCAAATAATCAACTGCACACAGCATATCTTAGGATCAACCGCACACAGCATATCTTGGAGTCAACCGCACACAGCATATCTTTGGATCAACCGCACACAGCATATCAAATAATCAACTGCACACAGCATATCTTAGGATCAACCGCACACAGCATATCTTGGAGTCAACCGCACACAGCATATCTTTGGATCAACCGCACACAGCATATCAAATAATCAACTGCACACAGCATATCTTAGGATCAACCGCACACAGCATATCTTGGAATCAACCGCACACAACGTATCTTTGGATCAACCGCACAAAGCCTATCAAATAATCAATCGCACACAACATATCTTAGGATCAACCGCAGTCTATTTGAAGGTCAACTTCACACAGCCTTTATCTTAGGAGCAACAGCACACAGTCTATATTAGGATCAACTGAACACAGTCTATGTGAATATCAACTAAACACAGTCTTTATTATGATCAATTAATCACAGTATATGTGAGGATCAACAGCACACGGTCTATCTTAGTATCAACTGCACACAGACTATCTTAGGATCAACTGCACACAGTCTATCTTAGGATCAACTGCACACAGTCTATCTTAGGATCAACTGCACACAGTCTATCTTAGGTTCAACTGCACACAGCCTATCAACTAATCAACTGCACACAGTATATCTTAGGAAGAACCGCACACAGTCTATCTTAGGATGAACCGCACACAGTCTTTATTAGGATCAATTAATCACAGTATATGTGGGGATCAACAGCACATAGTTATTTTTTGGATCAACTGCATACAGTCTTTCTTAGGATCAACTGCACACGCTCTATCTTAGGATCAACTGCACACAGACTATCTTAGGATCAACTGCACACAGTCCATCTTAGGATCAGCTGCGTACACTCTATCTCAGGATCAACTGCACACAGACTATCTTAGGATCAACTGCACACAGTCCATCTTAGGATCAACTGCACACAGACTATCTTAGTATCAACTGCGCACAGTCTATCTTAGGATCAACTGCACACAGACTATCTTAGGATCACTGCACACAGTCCATCTTAGGATCAACTGCACACAGACTATCTTAGGATCAACTGCGCACAGTCTATCTTAGGATCAACTGTACACAGACTATCTTAGGATCAACTGCACACAGTCTATCTTAGTATCAACTGAGCACAGTCTATCTTAGGATCAACTGCGCACACTCTAACTTAGTATCAACTGCACACAAACTATCTTAGGATCAACTGCACAAGTCTATCTTAGGATCAACTGCACACAGTCTATCTTAGGATCAACTGCGCACACTCTAACTTAGGATCAACTGCACACAAACTATCTTAGGATCAACTGCACAAGTCTATCTTAGGATCAACTGCACACAGTCTATCTTAGGATCAACTGCGCACAGTCTATCTTAGGATCAACTGCGCACACTCTAACTTAGGATCAACTGCACACAGACTATCTTTGGATCAACTGCGCACACTCTAACTTAAGATCAACTGCACACAGACTATCTTAGGATCAACTGCACACAGTCTATCTTATGATCAACTGCACACAGTCTATCTTAGGATCAACTAAACACAGTATATGTGCGGATCAACTGCACACTACATATAAATATACCTGAGGATCAACCAGGAATCGTCCCAAACAATCTGAGGATCAACAACATACCATCTATTTACACTCAGCCATACATACACGCGCTATAGCATATTTCTTTCCATTAATAAAAACGTTCCAAAATATGAATGATTATATGTTTCGAACTTAAATAGTGTTTATTCTATAAATTTATTCAAAAACGATATTGATTGCTGACCATTGACAGCATGTATATTTATTTCTGTATAAACAAACCGTGTATATGTATGTACCTACATAGTATGTGTGTGGTATGCTATGACCATTTTTTCAAATATTTTGTACATTACCTGTAATTCTATTCTATTCCTGTTTGTTACCTTCTATTTGTGATAAGAACTAAATAAAATTATGAATGATTACTCCTGTAAATCAATAATATTGCGTCTGGTCCGTGTGAGGGTACTTATATATGGTTTCAATATCACATAGAACTACTCGCTACTATTGAAGTACATGATTAGCTTTGTATGGAATACGAGCTCTATTGGTTGACGTATGTTAAACTTGAGCTTTATACCCGCCTTGTTAACTGATGTGTGAACGAGATCGCGACAAACACTAACCACGATAGCCATGCATGTTCTACTATAACGAGTGGATGACTCGCCGAGAGAAGTATCTAGTCCTGCGGTGATAGATCAAGAGTTACTAATATCTTAATCATATGTATGTTATAGATCACACCTGGTGGATACAGATGATACGCTACCTGTCAGTGACATATATAGCCACCCGAGGTAGGGGTGGATACAGATGATACGCTACCTGTCAGTGACATAGTCACCCAAGGTAGGAACTCTTTATTATCACCTATATAGCTAGACAACATTACACATTTTACACATAAGATATTTTTATTTATTTTCTCTAGTTCTATACTATAACACACTATCGTCACTGCCTTTATATATACTGAATGTCCACAACGCTTTATGGTATATCATATTTCACGTAAGACATTGTAAGTTTCATCGTTATATATTTAGGCCACTACCGTTTTATGGAGGTAGATTGACATATTAAAATACCAGCCGTGCCCGTATTGACGCGTCCCGATATCAAAGCGACCTCGTATCTAAAGGATTTTGATTACATTTACTTTCTCAATAGCTTAAATACAGTGAATAAGGCTAAATTACAGAATTAGTTTAGTGACTTCAATTCGTACTGGGTTTTATTAATTTATACCAAAAAGTAAACATTAGAATACACTGAATGAGTTCGTGTTTCGGAGTGCAAAGTACAAGCTAGGTCACTGTCAAAATGCTTTTTGATATTTTGTAAGCAATATGGCCAAGGCCTAGGCGAATATAGTTTGGTACTTTTGTCAATTGTAAGGTGTGCCCCCTGACTTTTGTAGAGAAAGAGTGGCCAGTATGGGGCTGAGTGCAAGTCGAAAGGAAGATTACAACAATCTCTTCCTGTCCATATACCGAGGAGACGTCGACGATATTCAACAGCACCTCAGCACCGGTCTGGAGGTCAGTACCATCTCTTAATTCTAAAACTGAAACAGCTCAGTACTGGTCTGGAGGTCAGTACTATCTCTTAATTCTAAAACTGGGACACCTCAGTACTGGTCTGGAGGTCAGTACCATCTCTTAATTCTAAATCTGGGACACCTCAGCACCGGTCTGGAGGTCAGTACCATCTCTTAATTCTAAATCTGGGACACCTCAGCACCGGTCTGGAGGTCAGTACCATCTCTTAATTGTAAAACTGAAACACCTCAGTACTGGTCTGGAGATCAGTACCATCTCTAAATTCTAAAACTGGGACACCTCAGCACCGGTCTGGAGGTCAGTACCATCTCTTAATTCTAAAACTGGGACACCTCAGTACTGATCTGGAGGTCAGTACCATCTCTTAATTCTAAAACTGAAACAGCTCAGTACTGGTCTGGAGGTCAGTACCATCTCTTAATTCTAAAACTGGGACACCTCAGCACCGGTCTGGAGGTCAGTACCATCTCTTAATTCTAAAACTGAAACACCTCAGTACTGGTCTGGAGATCAGTACCATCTCTAAATTCTAAAACTGGGACACCTCAGCACCGGTCTGGAGGTCAGTACCATCTCTTAATTATAAAAATGGGACACCTCGGCACCGGTATGTAGGTCAGTACCATCTCTTATTTCTAAAACTGGGACACCTCAGTACTGGTCTGGAGGTCAGAACCATCTCTTAATTATAAAAATGGGACACCTCGGCACCGGTCTGTAGGTCAGTACCATCTCTTAATTCTAAAACTGGGACACCTCAGTACTGGTCTGGAGGTCAGTACCATCTCTTAATTATAAAAATGGGACACCTCGGCACCGGTCTGTAGGTCAGTACCATCTCTTATTTCTAAAACTGGGACACCTCAGTACTGATCTGGAGGTCAGAACCATCTCTTAATTCTAAAACTGGGACACCTCGGCACCGGTCTGTAGGTCAGTACCATCTCTTAATTCTAAAACTGAAACACCTCAGTATTGGTCTGGAGGTCAGTACCATCTCTTAATTCTAAAACTGAAACACCTCAGTATTGGTCTGGAGGTCAGTACCATCTCTTAATTCTAAAACTGAAACACCTCAGTATTGGTCTGGAGGTCAGTACCATCTCTTAATTCTAAAACTGGGACACCTCAGTACTGGTCTGGAGGTCAGTACCATCTCTTAATTCTAAAACAGGGACACCTCAGTACTGATCTGGATTTCAGTACAATCTCTTAATTCTTAAACTGGGACACCTCAGTACTGATCTGGAGGTCAGTGCCATCTCTTAATTCTAAAACTGAAACACCTCAGGACTGGTCTGGAGGTCAGAACCATCTCTTAATTCTAAAACTGGGACACCTCAAAATTGGTCTGGAGGTCAGTACCATCTCTTAATTCTAAAACAGAGACACCTTAGTACTGGTCTGGATGTCAGTGCCATCTCTTAATTCTAAAACTGAAACGCCTCAGAACTGGTCTGGAGGTCAGTATCATCTCTTAATTCTAAAACTGAAACACCTCAGTACTGGTCTGGAGGTCTGTACCATCTCTTAATTCTAAAACTGAAACACCTCAGTACTGGTCTGGAGGTCTGTACCATCTCTTAATTCTAAAACTGAAACACCTCAGTACTGGTCTGGAGGTCAGTACCATCTCTTAATTCTAAAACTGAAACACCTCAGTACTGGTCTGGAGGTCAGTACCATCTCTTAATTCTAAAACTGAAACACCTCAGTACTGGTCTGGAGGTCAGTACCATCTCTTAATTCTAAAACTGAAACACCTCAGTACTGGTCTGGAGGTCTGTACCATCTCTTAATTCTAAAACTGAAACACCTCAGTACTGGTCTGGAGGTCAGTACCATCTCTTAATTCTAAAACTGAAACACCTCAGTACTGGTCTGGATGTCAGTGCCATCTCTTAATTCTAAAAATGGGACACCTCAGTACTGGTTTGGAGGTCACTATCTCTTAACTCTAAATCTGAGACACCTCAGTACTCGTCTTAAGGTCAGTACCACCATTTCTTAATTTTAACACTGAGACACATCAGCACCAATCTGGAGGTCAGTATCATCTCTTAATTCTAAAACTGAAACACCTCAGAACTCGTCTGGAGGTCAGTACAATCTCTTAATTTTAAAACTGAGACTCTTCAGTACTGGTCTGGAGGTCAGTACTATCTCTTAATTTTAAAACTTTGGCACCTCAGTACTGGTCTGGAGGTCAGTTCTATCTCTTAATTCTAACACTGAGACATTCAGAATTCGTCTAGAGGTCAGTATCTCTTAACTCTAAAACGTGGACACCTCAGTACTGGTCTGGAGGTCAGTTCTATCTCTTAATTCTAACCCTGAGACACTTCAGAACTCGTCTAGAGTTCAGTATCTCTTAACTCTAAATCTGGGACACCTCAGTACTGGTCTGGAGGTCAGTTCTATCTCTTAATTCTAACACTGAGACACTTCAGAACTCGTGTAGAGGTCAGTATCTCTTAACTCTAAAACTGGGACACCTCAGTACTGGTCTGGAGGTCAGTACCATCTCTTAATTCTAACACTGAGACACTTCAGAACTCGTCTAGAGGTCAGTATCTCTTAACTCTAAAACTTGGACACCTCATTACTGGTCTGGAGGTCAGTACCATCTCTTAATTCTAACACTGAGACACTTCAGAACTCGTCTAGAGGTCAGTATCTCTTAGTTCTAAAACTTTGGCACCTCAGTACTGGTCTGGATGTCAGTACCATCTCTTAATTCTAACACTGAGACACTTCAGAACTCGTCTAGAGGTTAGTATCTCTTAATTCTAAAACTTTGGCACCTCAGTACTGGTCTAGAGGTCACTATCATCTCTTAATTCTAACATTGAGACACTTCAGAACTCGTCTAGAGGTCAGTATCTCTTAATTCTAAAACTTTGGCACCTCAGTACTGGTCTAGAGGTCAGTATCATCTCTTAATTCTAACATTGAGACACTTCAGAACTCGTCTAGAGGTCAGTATCTCTTAATTCTAAACCTTTGGCACCTCAGTATTGGTCTGGAGGTCAGTACCACCCACAATTTTAACACTGGGGCACCTCAGTACTGGTTTAGAGGTTAGTATCTCCTAATTCTATCTATATATTCTGCAACACCCTCTTTCTAGTATTATGTGCAGCGTCATAATTCTTGCATGGTCTGTGTCTGTCTGATTCAAGCGCTGACATCTCAAACAAGGCATTATTTTATTTTGAGTAATCATGATTGTTTAACGGAAACGTATATATTTTCTGTTGTTTATCCAAATGATTACATATTTGGAGGTTTCTGTCAAAAGATCTGTAATTTCCTAACAGGACGCCATCTTCATCTGCAAAATGTGATCATGTAGATGTTACAGCAAAAGTGTGATTCATTTCTTTATTGACAGATAAACAAACAAGTAGATTCTAAATCTGCCCTGTACAGAGCTGTGGAAAGTGGGCATAACGACGTGGTCAAACTGCTCATCGACTGCGGATGTGACGTCAACATCGGTAGGACCAACGGTAAGAACGGAAATGGTGAAGATATTTCCAAAAAATGCGTAATATAATACAAATCGGTTATGCATATGGATAACTTATAAAATGGATCGCTACCCATCCACTGTTCCCTGTTTTGCAATTTTAAAGTTTATAGTGATTGATTAAACAGTAATGTTACGGGTCTCAGAAGACTAAAAATCAGTAGTCTTATAAAAAAGGAAGTGTAATAAATTCTTTTTCATTACCTCATGTTAAAACACAGTACTTGAATGCTGGTTTCTTTAAAACCTTTACGTATGATAATATGTTTAGGTTGACTGTTTATCAACATGGACCGATTCAAAACAGCTTTTACATGTTTACATTTTAAAATTCCCCGTTTGTTACGGGTGGCTTGTCATGGCTATTATGACTAGTGATATTTTCTGACACGTTTGAGTCATCCCATTACCTGCATGCTCGTCGGTAAACTTGTGGATATATAAAACATTATATCGCCAGCCAACCGTTACCTACGGGCGTGTTCACGGTTAACAAACCAAGTCACTGATGCATGGGATAAACGCCTTTTATTTCATTTCAAAATACTGCGTAGTGAATATAGTGTATACGCAACATTACATACCTAACAGAGTTGAGAATGAATTACTTGACAAAGGGATAACACTACGTCAATCTCCTCTTAACTATGGTGCATCATAGGTGATCATAAATTATATTACTATTTTGGGACAAGGAAATAATAGAAAAAAATAGGTATTCTATTATAATACCATACCATCTGGCCTTAATTTAACTCCATAATCGATTTGCCATTTTAAATCAACAAAACAAATTAAACATTCATTAAGTGAAAAAAGATCAGTAATTTGTTGAAAACAACGATAGGAAATTTTAGATAAATTTCAATAGCATAAAACGATATATATGTAATTACGTAAGTATCTATCTGCTAAAAAAATCTATTTGTAGAGAAATCTTCAGCTTTAGACTGATTGGTAATTGTCAGCCTGCTTGCAGGTCTACAAAAAGTTGTCCATTAAACGTCATGTTGTGCGTGTAATTTGTCAATAAATCATCGTGAAATCTTTAACCACGAAAACAACATGTCGTATCATATATTTGTTGTTTTTCTATTAGACTTAAATATCAATCAACCATCAAATTAACCGTCAACTAGAGTAAACAATATCATTAATATAACAGCCAACTGTCTGTTAGATTAAACAAAACTATATTATTAGTATAAACATGAGATAAACTTAAACAAATTATCAACATAAACTTTAAATATCCATTCAATTTTACTTAAACATACTATCAATATAAACATTAACTGTTCTTTGATTAAATTATACAACATAAGCTTTACCTGTCTGTAAGATAAAACTTAACAATGCTACACAAATTGACATTAACTGGTTTTTGATTAAACTAAGCAATATCATCAACATAAACAGTAATTGTCCATTGATTAAACTAAACAATTTTATCACTATTGACATTAATCGTCCATTAGATTAGTGTTCACGATTGTCAACATTGCCATTAACCGTCTATTAAACCAAGACATTACGAACATATCAATTAACCACCAGTTCTGTTTTGTTTTTCTCTCTCAGAATCTGTTGTTGCCAATTTACTGCCAAGTTCGCTGTATGAAATCGGTGAGTTTGTTTGTTAAAGTGTGTCGTTTTCATTCAGTAATGTGTAACATGCTTATTATAATATTTTACAAAGCTTATTTAAAACTAATAAAAACAACTAGATTTACTTTAAGGGTTGGTTACAGTCATGTCTAAAAATACATGTAGCTTGCGATATTGAATTGTTGTTGACTATGGTTATGTTGCAGGTATGTTATGTTACAGGTATGTTATGGTACAGGTATGTTATGTTACAGGTATGTTATGGTACAGGTATGTTATGTTATGTTCACAAGTACACTGCATTTGCTGGCGCAGATATACATACAGGAACTTCATTAACATATCACGAATAGCATTGAAATGATTTGATACTTTGACTGAAATGCACCCATTTCGTTAACAGAATACCTGTACAGGTATCATCGTTACTACCGTAGTGTCGTTCTGTTCGGTACACACACGTATTGCTTCATACAACGCAGTCATTTAATTCGTTCGGCGGGTTATTGAGATGGCGATATCCTGATTGGTTAGGGTTGAGTGAGTGATTTAATTCAGGTTTACACTAGTAGCATATATTGACGTATATCTATGGCAACAAGTAAATGAATGGTATGGTTCTTAACAATCGATGAGGATTCATTTGGTTCACACTTTCTAGTGATTCGATGACGAGGAACGCGACACTACAATCAATATATATGTTTACCTGTGTAATTAGCGGACGTCATGGTTGTGGAACAAAACATTGAATAGGCCTCGTTTCCAATGTCATCACATGGATAATGGCGTATTGAGGATTCATACCACCTATAGGTATTTAGTATATGACATGAAAATGTCATCAAACGATACAATATTTGTTAAATGTAAACATACACGAACCCCTCTACCTATTGTTTTGCTTTTACATTATAACTGTTTAATTCACCAACATGTATTGTCCTAAAACAAATAGTGTCCTCTCGTAGGAGGGCTTCCATACACCTAACTCTCTTTCATGGCTTCCATACACCTCACTCTCTTTCATGGCTTCCATACACCTCACTCTCTTTCATGGCTTCCATACACCTCATTCTCTTTCAAATAAACTATCGATTTATAACTTGTGTATATTATTCACAACTAGTTGTTTTTAATGGAGCAAAACGCAAGGTACAACCAAAGTCATTGAAGCGGAACTGACACAGTGACCTATATTATATATATTGGTGTTCATAATATGTGTTTGCATATGAAGTTTGATGACTGTTTAACTTAAAATACTAGAGCAACAAAGCTCTGTGTATAATCGCACCAAGCTGGCGTACTGACTGATATGGCTCTAATGTGACAGGACATAGAAAGGAATTATTTAATGACATCAATACTTTACAGTGAACGTATATTATGTACTGTTTCCATTTAAACTTCATACTCACTCTGCCGTCGACAATTCGTATTGATTTTTTGTAAATCAAAAAGAAATCAATTTGTTTTTTGAAAACATAAACATATTCAGGGACGCCTTTTCATATGCATATAGATAAATGCATTCCGTGAAGCGTGTCAAGCACATAATGGTTGATGAATAATGACGTTAGTGATGTTCCAACCTCTCTGTCGGAATTATTGGATACACAAGGAGTTGGGCAACAAGCAAAGTCTATGAATGTCCTCTCCTTACTAAAACAAACAGTATATACACATCCTATTTTAGTATTGATAAATGATAACAGTATTAGCTTATCCATGATTATGCAACTTTGTAATTATTTTTGGCTACAGATCATCAGAGTTACAGCTGACAGTGCAATTTAAGATAAAAACATCTTCAATCTAAATTGAAAGCAATGTTACATTAACATTTAAAATAGAAATAAAAAGGTCTAAAATGTAGGCTACAAATGCTATTACAAATAGCGATTTGATATGGTTAGAATTGTGTATTAAGTAGGCAGATTGTTATATCATTAACACAATAAATGTCCATTTTGTCTGTCTCTACTGCTACGTTCTGATGTATATACGTAGTTTTGTTGCCCTTATGAAGGTCAAAACAGTTTATAAAGAATCCCATCTGTTAACATAAAGTATTGCGTGTGTTTATATGCTATTTCTGAAATCGAACTATGTGTGTTGACATGTTCGTTACAGAAAGTCCTCTCCACCTTGCGTGTGAGCTTGGCTTTGTTGACATAGTACTCGAGTTATTGGCATGTGGAGCAGATGTCAACAGGACCAACTGGTACGGCATGACAGCTGTCTGGAAAATGGCAGTCCAGGGTAAACTCGACATACTGAATCTTCTCCTACAGCACCCGGATGTTGACATCACTGTACCATCGGGGGACAGCTGTTGTCCTACTATGTAAGTGAAATACCACGACATTTTAATTGGTTATTCTACCCAGTTTTATTTCATTACATATTACCTTAGTACAATTATAACATGCGTCTTTAATAATCACACGCCTTTTTGAACATTTGATCATAACCATCCTAACGTTTAGATGTGGGAATGGTTTGACGTTATTGCCCTTAATAGGGAATCACTCCAATACAATCTGATACTGTGAACTGAGTCCATGGGCTGATACTCGATCCCAATGCTTGCTTTATGCTATTTGAATAACAACCTACTGGAAAATCGTGATTGGCTACGATCTATAAGATACTCATAATTAAGAATAAGAACTAATATCCTAAACTCTTAAAAACGATCAGCCAACACATATCGGACATCCTTATAAAATAAGTGTACACAAATTAATAAACAGACTATCCTACTTTAATTGGTTATCCAACATAGNTATGTATACCACAGCAACGTCTGCCAGTAATACTGTTACCACGTCTTCTTTACATACTATAACATTGTCTTTTATGTATACCACTGCCACGTCTGCCAGAACATACTGTTACCACGTCTTCTTTACATACTATAACATTGTCTTTTANTTCTCTTTCAAATAAACTATCGATTTATAACTTGTGTATATTATTCACAACTAGTTGTTTTTAATGGAGCAAAACGCAAGGTACAACCAAAGTCATTGAAGCGGAACTGACACAGTGACCTATATTATATATATTGGTGTTCATAATATGTGTTTGCATATGAAGTTTGATGACTGTTTAACTTAAAATACTAGAGCAACAAAGCTCTGTGTATAATCGCACCAAGCTGGCGTACTGACTGATATGGCTCTAATGTGACAGGACATAGAAAGGAATTATTTAATGACATCAATACTTTACAGTGAACGTATATTATGTACTGTTTCCATTTAAACTTCATACTCACTCTGCCGTCGACAATTCGTATTGATTTTTTGTAAATCAAAAAGAAATCAATTTGTTTTTTGAAAACATAAACATATTCAGGGACGCCTTTTCATATGCATATAGATAAATGCATTCCGTGAAGCGTGTCAAGCACATAATGGTTGATGAATAATGACGTTAGTGATGTTCCAACCTCTCTGTCGGAATTATTGGATACACAAGGAGTTGGGCAACAAGCAAAGTCTATGAATGTCCTCTCCTTACTAAAACAAACAGTATATACACATCCTATTTTAGTATTGATAAATGATAACAGTATTAGCTTATCCATGATTATGCAACTTTGTAATTATTTTTGGCTACAGATCATCAGAGTTACAGCTGACAGTGCAATTTAAGATAAAAACATCTTCAATCTAAATTGAAAGCAATGTTACATTAACATTTAAAATAGAAATAAAAAGGTCTAAAATGTAGGCTACAAATGCTATTACAAATAGCGATTTGATATGGTTAGAATTGTGTATTAAGTAGGCAGATTGTTATATCATTAACACAATAAATGTCCATTTTGTCTGTCTCTACTGCTACGTTCTGATGTATATACGTAGTTTTGTTGCCCTTATGAAGGTCAAAACAGTTTATAAAGAATCCCATCTGTTAACATAAAGTATTGCGTGTGTTTATATGCTATTTCTGAAATCGAACTATGTGTGTTGACATGTTCGTTACAGAAAGTCCTCTCCACCTTGCGTGTGAGCTTGGCTTTGTTGACATAGTACTCGAGTTATTGGCATGTGGAGCAGATGTCAACAGGACCAACTGGTACGGCATGACAGCTGTCTGGAAAATGGCAGTCCAGGGTAAACTCGACATACTGAATCTTCTCCTACAGCACCCGGATGTTGACATCACTGTACCATCGGGGGACAGCTGTTGTCCTACTATGTAAGTGAAATACCACGACATTTTAATTGGTTATTCTACCCAGTTTTATTTCATTACATATTACCTTAGTACAATTATAACATGCGTCTTTAATAATCACACGCCTTTTTGAACATTTGATCATAACCATCCTAACGTTTAGATGTGGGAATGGTTTGACGTTATTGCCCTTAATAGGGAATCACTCCAATACAATCTGATACTGTGAACTGAGTCCATGGGCTGATACTCGATCCCAATGCTTGCTTTATGCTATTTGAATAACAACCTACTGGAAAATCGTGATTGGCTACGATCTATAAGATACTCATAATTAAGAATAAGAACTAATATCCTAAACTCTTAAAAACGATCAGCCAACACATATCGGACATCCTTATAAAATAAGTGTACACAAATTAATAAACAGACTATCCTACTTTAATTGGTTATCCAACATAGACAAAGTCATACCACACCACTGATCATGGCGGCAAGGGAATCACGTACTGAGGTGGCGGCCTTGTTGTGTCAACATTCTTCAAGTGACGTCAACCTGACGGACAGACAAGGGTAAGTGACGACGCATGTTATATATTGCAAATACCACGTTCTCATATGTAAGTCATTCCCTGTACCAAAACCAAGTTATTCGATGTATCAATAACACATCTATCATAACATACTGTAACATTGTCTTTCATTACATACCACAGCCACGTCTGCCAGTACATACTGTTACCACGCCTTCTTTAAATACTACAACATTGTCTTTTATTTATGCCACTGCCAGTACATACTGTTACCACGTCTTCTTTAAATACTATAACATTGTCTTTCATGTATATTACAGCCACGTCTACCAGTACATACTGTTACCACGTCTCGTCTGCCAGTACATACTGTTACCACGTCTTCTTTAAATACTACAACATTGTCTTTTATGTATACCACTGCCACGTCTGTCATTACATACTGTTACCATGTCTTCTTTAAATACTATAACATTGTCTTTTATGTATACCACAGCAACGTCTGCCAGTAATACTGTTACCACGTCTTCTTTACATACTATAACATTGTCTTTTATGTATACCACTGCCACGTCTGCCAGAACATACTGTTACCACGTCTTCTTTACATACTATAACATTGTCTTTTATGTATATTACAGCCACGTCTACCAGTACATACTGTTACCACGTCACGTCTGCCAGTACATACTGTTACCACTGCCATGTCTGTCATTACATACTGTTACCACGTCTTCTTTAAATACTACAACATTTTCTTTCATGTATACCACTGCCACGTCTGTCATTACATACTATTACCACGTCTTCTTTACATACTACAGCATTGTCTTTCATGTATACCACTGCCACGTCTGTCATTTCATACTATTACCACGTCTTCTTTACATACTATAACATTGTCTTTTATGTATACCACAGCCACGTCTGTCATTTCATACTGTTACCACGTCTTCTTTACATACTATAACATTGTCTTTTATGTATACCACCGCCACGTCTGTCATTACATACTGTTACCACGTCTTCTTTACATGCTAATATCAGGTCTTTCATTACATACCAATATTACCTTTTTAACTATGCTTATATCACATCATTTATTCACAGAGTGAATACTCCTTTTCTGAAAAGAATCATTAATTTAAAAAAAGTCAATATTTGAAACGCAATGTACAGAGTATACGATATAATTCAAAGTAGACAACTCTGAAACTTTCTATAAAATGGTCAACAATGCGATATAGACGAGTCCGGCAGCAACGATTTATATGGTTAAATAATCGGATTACAAATAGCTGACACCATTTAAGATGAGGTGAGCTATGCCTTTTCTACCTATAAGTCTATATGTCAACAGGAGGACCGCTCTACACTACGCCGCATGTAACGGTAATGACGAAATGACGGCGATTCTGATACAGGGAGGGGCGAGCAGTAACAGTGTAGACGAGGACGGGATAACCCCCCTCTACACCGCCTGTAAACACGGCCATACCGCTGTCGTCCGGAGAATACTCCTGGCTGGTAAGGCATGCACCTTACAATGTTATAACAGTTATAGTGTAAAAATAAAACAGATAACACCGATTCCATAACGTTTGTAATGCAGACATACCTTTCTAATTGGTTAAGCTGCTTTTATGACTCGGCCTTGTGAATGTTTTTTAGATTCATATCATTCATTGACTATTCAATGAATAATTTCGAAACATTCCGAAAAGAAAACTCATCGGCGTTATCAACCGATTGATCAACCCCGCTGAAAGACATGACTTATAAACATCTACCTTGCACCTGACATTGATTGATCGCTGGGTGATTGAATATACCTTACCTGTAAAAATTGGATAAACAAAGTGTACCTATAATCATCCAAAATCAATAACGATTATTAATTTTATATTTTCGTATTTTGAAGTAGGAGCATGAATCTTTTTAGTTTATTAGACAAGTATAAGGTTTACGCAGGAGGCCCAATTCTCGTAATAAAAGGACAAAATGTATTTTTTAATCGAGTACTGAAAACTATCAAAAGGGGTATATATGTTTTAACGATCTAAGTATTTTTTACTTTTTGATTATATTCTCATCTTGAATGTTAATATTTCTGTAACAGCTGTTAAGATACATAATTATGTACGTTTACATACACATTTCATGTAATTAAATACAATTTGGTCAAAAGCTTAATAGACTAATTACTAGAAACATTATAAATTGAAATAAAACGGTTATAAGATTCTGAATTCTACATATATGATATAGAACAGTCACACAAATGGCATTGTTTATAACGATTTTCTATATTTTGATTTGTTAGATGATTAAAACGTATTCATCAATACAGATATGTAAATGAAACTGAATGCTTATATACCAAGGCAATGTCCTTTTCCACGATCCGCTCCAAGGATGTGGATACCAAAATACTAATACAATGTAATATATAAATTAATTACTAGAAATACGAAGTCAGTAGGTACTCTTTTAAACATGTTGTTTGTCAATGCAAAAAGCCAGACAAAGTAAATATTCTTCTTAAACATATGACCATTTTGTCCAATTAGGACGCATTAGTTATACTAAAGGTTGAAAGAAGGAAAATCAGTGTCTAAAACGCTCCGAAACGAATGTAAAAATACCGTGAAAGGGGGACAGGTGTCTATTGGACCCTTTATAGCAGCGACAGCAGATACCTCCTTCTAAAATCGTGTTGAACAAATTATAGCTACAAGGTTACGGACAACATCCGGGACGTTTAGTCCCCCAACACAGTTAATCATCTTGTGAGATAGGATATACACCGAACAAGCTTAGTAACGGACTACCCAGTAACCATTCAGTTTGTCAATGCAGAAAGTCATGTCAGAATAAATTCCAGCATCAAATTTACTGCCAACCTCGTAATTTAAATCACCTTTTGCATAAGCATTTCTGAGTATAGTTGTATTTCTCTATTAAATGCGCTTTAACTTCCTCAATATGTGTAAGCGACACATGTTATACATGGTTTTTACAGAATCTATGGAGAAATGACAGGGATTAACATAGTGATAAATAGTCCTTTATATAGCTAGACTCATAAATCATCGCTATGCAATGTAACGTTATTTTTTTGTATGTGGTTGGACGTCCTAACAACAGCCAAGGTAAATAAGAAAATAAAAGGTTTTTACTTGAAACGTGAGAAATGAAAATATCCAAAGTGTTGCAATGGGGGAAGCAAGTAAATCACTTTGGGTTTCCTCAGAGTCCTCTCAGCAGTAGACACGGATGAAATCCCGATTCTGGGGGGNCCAAACCCTGTAATGACAGAATGTCCTTATTTAAAGAACAATGATAGGGTTATTATTACTTCACAGACACATACAACTTTATATACCGTATGGCAGTTGACAACCGTATGTTCATGGAATGTATGTTATATAATGCATTGCGTCGTGGTTTAATTCTCTATTGTTATTAGTTTATCGATAGTTAGACGAATAAAGTGAACATTCCATAAACATAAAAGTTACTGTAAATGTCATATTATCGTACAATTATTGTGTTGATCGTTGTCCATATTTATGAACACAACCCCCGAATAAAGTGTTACAGGTCCAAATTCCAGAGCAAAACTCCAGGGAATGTCAGAACGATACTCAGTGTGGTATTCATAATGTTTGAGCAAAAGTCAATGTGGTAATAAGAATATCATAATGTTATTCAGTGTAGTAGAAACAATGGAGTTGATTTCAAACACACTGTTTAATTAGTCACACTTTTATCATTACAGGTGCTGATAAATCAATCTCGATGAGCAGCAGGTCTAACAATAACGGATTCTACCCGCTCCATATTGCTGTGTTGCAGTGTCACATTGATGTGGTACGACTGCTTTGTCACACTAACCCCGCAATGGTTGATACGCGAACAGTTACAGGAAAGACACCTCTAATTTTAGCTTGTCATAACGGAAGACGGGACATCGTGTTATTCTTACTTCGGTGCGGAGCTGATCCGAACGCCAATGATTCCTTTCACCAGACGCCACTACTTTATGCACTTAGTCATGGAATACAGAAGGACACATTTAAACATATCAGTACTGACGATAAGCATGGTAATATATATAAAGATCAGCTATCATTGGATGGTGATAGTACCAACAACAATCCTAGGTACTCTGATCATGAAGTTGTTGCTGTTGATGAGGATAATAATGAAGACGATTTTTCTATTTTGGAACATTTAATACACTATGGTGCTAGTGTCAATACTATGGACATCCACCAACAAACATGCGGGTTCTACAGCATTACGAAAGGAACACTTCCTCATTGTGTTGTAATGATGAAATTCGGGGCTGATATACACCCTTTTGATCCTCATAGCTTCTCAAAGATGGCTAACTGTGAAAAACTTAAAGCCTTAATTCAAATTGATCTACGATTTAGAAATATTGCCAAAACAATTTCTGTAGAACAGCTGTTAGATCCTGCCCTCGAACGTTACCTGGAGCACGAACTGATGAACCCACCTAGTCTAAAAGTGCAATGTCGTCATGCAATACGCAAGACGTTGTTACGGAAGCAGTTCGGTGCCTTACACAAACAAACTCAGGAACTACCCATACCAAAATTGCTCAAATGGTACATATTGCTCAATGATATTTGTTATCAATTTGATGTTCCGTCCAAATATACATGAACATATGCAAAGCTGTTTTTATTTATTCTTCACATATTATCTCTTACATTGCCCGTCTTATTCCTTCTTTGCGTATTGCAGAGTTATCTTCTCTTGTGAGCAGGTATTGATTATCACGTCATTGGTTTGTGTGAGAAAATTACGTCGTTTTTTCAAAAATTGATGACGTTACTCTCACAAACAAATGACGTATAACAATAAATATCTGCTCACAAGAGAAGATTACACTGCAATACGCAAAGACGGAATATGCGCAATAGCGATAGAGTGATTGAGAAAAAAAAATCACAAAACAAAACAAAATGTTCCATGTCTTCAATTCAAACTCGGCCGATAGAAAACAACAAGTAAATCACGGCAGACACGCTACGCCCTAAACCATTACAGAAAACCGGAGCTGAAACAAGATGTTCCGGAAGTGTAAGCGTTTCTGTCACCACATACAATAATGTATGGTATCCGTCCTGATGTCCTCTGTGAAATCTAGGAAAGTATGTAGGCTACCCATGATCTATGACAAGTTTTATTTTGTTAAAACAACTAATTCATAAATGGAAACCAGGGCCCGTATTTATGAAACTATTCTACTGCTCAAACTCAATATCATGTTTCCGTGATAAATTAATAAAGAAATCATATTTTGTCAATAATATGGAAGAATTTGGGAAAGACTTAAAGCCGAACACTGTTTCCAATGTTAACACCTAACCGTTTGCCATGCTTGAGTATGAGAACGGTTTTCTGACTACGGGCTCAGGTCCGATGACCGTGCGCATTCTTCTACTGAAACCTTTTGTTGTCTTTACATTTAGGGGGAAATAATATACTCGCTGCATATATCTTTAGCCTGTTTTCCCCTATCTAATCATTGTAGATTTACATAAAAACAATAATTAGAAAATGGATGGATTTCTAATGGGAAAATGTCAATCTAAATTGATGTTTAGCTAAAGGAATTCAGTGTCTTCTCATGTCTGTTCATCGTGCCCTGGGTTAAATGGTAAACGCTTTCTGTAGTAGGCAGGACGCAGAATGACGAATGCCACATGTTGCACGCCAAACGCTTACCTTTCCATGACACCTTTAATATGATATATAAATGTTACACATGGTGGGTGGCTTTTGGCAAGTGTAGTGGTTGAAGGTTCGCTTTGCACCAATGTATAAAAACGTGCGGGTCACAGTAAAGCTCTACAAGAGAGCAATTCATATAAAAATAAAATCGCAATCTTTTTTGATTTCAAAAGTGTATTTGGTCCCAATATATCTATATATGTAGGAATATAACAATAACATTAAATGGCTATGTTTGCATCTAAAAATACATGACGAACCATGAACTGGCACCTTTTATTAATAACATTTGTGATGAAATCACGTTACATATTGATGATATACACAACGTTAACTTCAATCACAATCAACCAAATATATACAACGCTCATGCATTAAGGCAATACGTGTTCGTAGAATACTGAAGCACGTGTTTAATCACAGTTTACTTGTTAACATGTAGAATCACTTTTTCCAGACACAGCTATCTTGGTTTCTTTCGCCAATCCGAATTCTAGCGAAAATGTCGTTTGCTGCGTAACAGCAGAAGATACACGTGAAAACTAATTGATTTCACATAAAATACCAACATTATGGCAAGTGGCTAAGGAGTTATGCACAATTATTCTCTTTTCCTACTATGATACATATGTGGGTATAAACTATATACATATTAAGACATATTGTGATGTTATGACTCACCAATAGTGTTAATAAGACGTATGCACACATATCTACATCGTAAGAATGATGAATACTATTGTTTGTTTACAATTCACTGACTATTTTACTAAGGTTGAAGTCTTACGTAAACACAGCTTTGACTAGATAAAAGAAATATCTACAAAATATCTGATAGTCTTAGCCTGTTAGGGTAATTATCTGTCCCATCCATTATTGTCTCTCTATCCACTACTGAGCATCAACAATAGTTATCCGGCTACACCAGTAGTGCATCTGTACCCACTGGTGTAAACGGGTACAAAAGTGGGTGATGTTAAAAAGATATCGACTCCTGCGAGTGAGTACAATAGTGGTTGCATCTGTACCCCATATAAACCGGGTCACACTAGTGATGGGGTTACTTTATTGGGTGTTACAAAGTTTACTGATTTGAAATGATATCCATCGTAATTATATTCTGACAATCAAATGAGATACAAATATTTGCATCAAAAATATCTTTTTAACCAAATTCAAACGCTCAAAAGAACACATTAATACATTAAAAACATTTACCGTGACGTAATAAAATGATTGATCGCATACAGAGGACTCAAGCATCCTGTGTCAGCTAGTTAACACTATTCTATCAACTATATACTATATACTCTGTCACTCAGAGTAAAATGCAGAGACTGTAGACTAATTAAGCGATATTTCCATTCCTTTACCGGGATGCCCCATGCTGCTAAAGAGAAATCTTATATATATATATATTTATATGAAAGAACGACATCGCGATATAATAAAGATTCTTTGATATTTCTTCGTAACAAAATGAAGTTTTTAACAAACAGATTTGTGTCACTTTGTAAAGTTTTCATGAAATTTGAGTCTTTGTCTCCTTACACTTGATTTATTCCTGTTTCAACAGACCCAGTCATCCTGATATCGCTTGTCACTGTTTGCTGTCACAGATAGTCACTGCACAGCACGCTTTTCCATGTGATGGATTGTTTACCTTTTCTGTCTTGCTTCGTTGTACCTTTTTTCTAAATATGCGTGATACCCTATAAAGACAAGGGAAAGTGTTAACAAAGGGCCATGACGCACGCATGTGAAAAGGAGTATTACGACTATAATTATTCATCATATTCTTACAAGTGTTGTTCTACTCATGCACAGATTATTGATTCAATACATACGGCTGTCAAAACGTTTAAGAAGCTACAAAGTAACAATATTGTACAGGTTTATTTTGTTTGAATCTTATAACGCACATTCTTAAAAATTCTACGATATGTTCTGTTTCGTATATTTTGAAAGAAGTATCTTATAAAAACAAACATTTATGAATGTAAGCATGTATACATGTGAGTATTCACATTTTGTAAGTATCATAACTCTTGCAATAATTAAACTGTATAGGGAAATCCCAACCAATGTCAGAATATTTCAAGTAATTATCTTATGATATAATAGTAAATATAATAATTGTATTGGAATAAGCAGACAATCTACTTTGCATCTTTGCATCTTTGCATCTTTGGCACTTACATACATCAAAAATATTATTTGTCAGCGGTTGTCGGTTTATGTGGGAAGGGAGGTAATTGTGATCAATGTTAAATGTCTACAAATATTAACAGTCCTGAATCTTTCCTGGATTATTTTCAGTACATTCATTTAGTATTGATATCTGTTTATAAGGAAGGAGAGAAGAATAAGAAGTAGAAATAAAGGATCTGAAACAAAAGAAAACGCAGTTTAGGACCATATTACAAAGCATTTAACCAAAATGCAATACTATGTAATTAAGTATTTTAATTAAATTCCTTACCTAAAATTAAATTTGACCCAATTAATTAAATATGTCACAAGCCAATACTCACACCTTGATACAGATATTTTGATACATGTAGGATTGTATCAAATGAGATAACCAATACAGTGTTATAACAGTGAGTGTTAGTAGTTTAATACAGAAATCTACGCTAGTTTTAGACTACAAGCTACAAGCACGCTACATGAGTAGAATTTGCTGGTCGGGTATTGGTATTTGTTGACATGTAAATGATTATAATACAATTCAAAACACGAATGTAATTTAGTGTCGTCAAATTGATGCATTGCATTTTGGTATTAAAAACAAAATTAAACAAAAATATGGGGAAACGATGAACCAGTGCTACAGTAGAACACTGTCGTGAAAGTGCACACTGTTGTCACAAGCAAAAATGAGAAAAAGAAATATTAGTTTTCTGGTTTCAATTTTTCTGATTTTGTAAATCAACCAAACGTGTTTATTCTTTAGAACTTACTATCGTTATCAATGAATATTGAACCCAAACGTATTGACTATTCAATTACGCCGTTTCTACACGAGAATGGTGTGTCTCTTCATTCAAGTTAGATCGGTAAAACTGATAACCAGATGTTCTTTTTACATGTTATAAACAAAGAATTCAAAAATGGAAAAACAGAAATATGCAGAATTGTTTAAAGCGGGTGTTACGAGGTGAACTGGGATAGCGGTCACTACAGGAGACAGCTGACGTCACAAAGAGACAGACTAGCTGACGTCATTTCTACAAGATGACGTCACTCCTGGAACTCACTATCTCGGCTGACCAGCAAGTAACCTGTCTTCTGGTCTGGAGTCGATTTCCTCCGCATTGCTTTCCGATTCCGACTCCTGAAAAGCAGCACATGCATTCCTGTTTTCTTAATACATGCACATGTTAATACATTCTGTCCTGAGAGTGTTCGTTATTGTCAGATATAGATGTCTACATCATAACACAGGACACTTTGGCAGCATCTTTTATTGTTAATACTGTTCTGTCACCAATATTCTATTTATATGACATGCTTTTCCTCTCACCATGAAACATTATGTTAGTCCAATAAGCACAATTCTATATACTGGTGTGTATTGTTTTTTTTATATTTCATTGATGTGTATAAAGATATAATAGAACAGATACAATTGTGTGTGTGTAGCAATCACGTGTTTGTTTCTTTTTTCACTTTACCCTGAAGTGTATAGGTGTCAGTTAAAGTTTCAGATTCAAAGTAAATATTCTTTGTATAGACAGAAGTAGTATCTATTCTTATAAAGACATTTCAATTGCAACAAATCGTGTTGTTATATCATCAATAAATGATGATACATGTGGGTCTTGACTTCTTTGATATATTGCCCGGCACCTTAGTTACATCACTGCATGCACCTGAACAAACTATCGTCTTTCGGCATGTATTTAACTTAAAATACTGTTAATCCAATTGGTATGCTGCTCTTTCTTTGTTGACCACCGGACAAGCATTTAAACTATCACATTTGTAAAAGTTATTCTATATAATATATCATCCTATCGCATGGCAATATGATATCCTACGTTTATTTAAGTAATCCTCTAAATGTGTAAGCTACTGTTTATCTAATAGATGCTATACATTGCTATATATGTATGTCAGCAGTACTTACATCCTCGTTAAAAGATTCCCCCTCTGATATGGCCACGACGACAGCGTCGTTAACAGACATGTATACGTTCTTCTCATACTTCTCCAGGAAACCCGTGGTTTTTAACACCGACCAAACATCATCTGTAAATCATTTACAAGGTTATTCAACCGGAGGTTTGATCGTTCTGTTGTCTAAACTGCATGAGGAAACGATAAAAATCCATACTTTTCGCATTATTGATTATTAACATGTTTCGCTGCAGGTCATAATGGTTCCTTATCGATAATGAGGAGCGACAGAAACATTATTTTGTGATCACGTTCCATTACGTTCAGTTTAAGTAACAATGCCTATAACGACTGCCTCATTATTGCTCGGCATGGGTGCTATAATACTAATGTCACCTACCGCTGACACTGGCCAAGAATACTTTGACACCAATAGATCTATAATCGTTGAAGAGCTGAAAAATATTTCAAATATGTCAACATACAGTTTCCATAAAGAAGTTGAATTGGGGTATTTGACAATCAAACTAATGCTACGTAATAAAAGGTTTGTGTAACTATCAAGATGCTCAACGTTTAATCAGTATCACTTGGCACAATTAACAATGTTAGAACCAAAATGAATAATTCAATTTTAATGGTTATTCCCTTCTCGTTTGTTATCGTTCCAAATGAGCTTGGACAATTGGCATAATATATGACATTTTTTTCGGTTTGGTGTTATACCTGGTTAAGAACTTTACATCCGACCGAATCCACGAAGCATACAGAAGCAAAGTCGAGGACGATGTGATGTACCATGGCCGATGAGTTATCGTTCTTGTCTTTGTCATTACTGCAGTTGCCGTTGGACATCCCTTCCTGGTCTGCGACGATGTTGTTGCTAGTGACTTGTAGGCGGCTGCTCTGTTATGTATACATCAGTCATATATATATGGGACAAAGAAGTAATCCAACAGTGTGGACACGTTTAGGTTGTCAAATTTTCGGAGCGATCTGCTCCTTTTTCAAGACACAGTGAAACAGAACAGTTACATGTACATATGCATCATATTACAAGAAGATAGAACTGATATACTATAATTGAAAATATTGCTATTATATAAAACCAATAGTCACCTCGGCTAAAGACAGCCGAAGGCAGCAATTAAGCTGAGAGCATCGCGGACAAGGAACGCTGATGTAGAGGACATATTCTTGCGCAAGATGCACTATCACATAAAGTGAGTCAACGAGAGATATCAAAAATGTGGAACATGTGCATGTGGAAATCTGGTCCGGTAAATGTGAAAAATCTCAATTTGGTACGGAATGTCACATTAGTCGCCTCTCAATTCTGCGATGGATTTAACAGTCACAGCAGGGGGTCCACACTTAGTCGCCTCTTTTGGTTTGCAGGAATAATGGATGTGCCTCTTTTGGTTTGTCATATATATATATAGATTTATATATATATAAGTTTTACAATGAATCATAGTAAGTACACTGATTTATGAGGCAGATGAAGGACGTAATACATCTACCATTTGTGTTGTTTAAAATGTAGTTATAGATGGTTTGCTTATTAATTACGTCTCATATTTAACTTGTGTAACATTATTGCGGATACCTTTTACTCGTGCTCTGCTTTGCCATACTCATAAAAATATACGGTATTCAACAAGCTATGTTACCGTTGATGATCTTATATGTTTACTCTGACATGTGTTTATCGTCAGTGATAAGTGATGTACCTCAAATAAAGCCGTTCCCTTCTTTTCCTTTAAGCGCCAATGGTCATTTAATAAACTTTTTATAAAGCAAAGCTACGACACGAAATCAATACATCTTTTATTCTAACCTTCAGATCTACATAAATCGAAAGACTGTATCAGTTTGTTCATGGCATACGACACGAAATCATCCAGCCAATAAATACCAGCTACTTAAATCTTTGCACCATCACACATTGTCTATTGGAACCTTTCCGATTTAACTGCATTTCAACATGTTTCTTAACTTTTTAGACCTTGGTGTTCATTCTTTAACCCTTAAGTCCAAAATGAACGCAATGACCACATGGTGCAGTTAAAATATTTACTCTGTTTTTTCTGCATCGACGTTCTAAAGTTTTAAACTGGCATCCTTACTTTGTATTTTAAGTGAGTAAGTTCTTTCTTTCATATTTTAACGATTTTGATCAACTACCGATCATCTGTTTGGTCATCTATATAAATGCACTTACATTTCGTCTAAATTCCGCAACAGACCCGAACCGTTTAATTTCCTTACGAACTCTCTGCGGTTTCAGTCCGGAAATGGTGAAGATTTGACGGAGGAATATATCCCCGTTGGCGTAGTAGAGAGGGGAGTTAAAAGAGATAACTCGTACCCCGGGATTGTTCCGTGTCTGGAAAAGGAGAAGTATGGCTGTTATTAAAATACAGTAATCAAGTAAAAGAAATTTAGTTCTGGATATATTCACCCAAGGTCGTAATGATACCGATTAGATTTTGTGCTGTGAATTTCAAGAAAAAATAAAATCTGAAGTAAAGGATATCTTTTGTTTGTTTATTACAAAAAAGGATTTGTGAAGGTGATTCGATTGTCAGGCTGTCGTGTATGGGTTATAAAACGTTCGTAAGCTGCTTTTCTATTTACCTTCATATACTTCTTGTCATCAGCGTAAATGTCAACATCTGATATCCGTTGAAGTGTAATGGCTTTGGCCCTGGAAACAACGGATGATAGTAACAGGTGTATAGTAGCATTGGTAACAGCAGTGAGTTATAGAAATATACCCATTTACTTGTGCATACGCGAAAATATATTGGCATTCGCATTATCATATCGAAACAAATCGATATTTCCAAGAATGTTGTATAGCTTCAGATGAACGCCATCTTGCTTTAACTGTACTTGATACTATTGAAGACATGATCTTTTGTAAAAATAAAATTAAAATATCTGTTGTTATAATAACCAAAAGGTGCAGTCGTTGTTGTCAATAAAAGAAAATTTCGTATGGACATACCTCTGTGTACGCAGGACAACTGTGAAGAAGGAGAAGATAAGCCCGATCCAGAGTCCGAGGTCCACATACAGGATAACCACTGCTAGGAACGTCACAATCCAGATCATCTGTCAGTCATAAACGACGGTGAACTACATATATGTTAACAGAGGCAATTATAACACTATCGAATATCAACTCATATCATGATTATATCTCGTATAAGAGTACTAGCACACTTACAAGAAGATTGAGTTTTTCTTCTCCATAAAAATGTTTTGTTTCTTTACAAAGTAACACATAACTTATTGATCTAAATTTTAAAACAACAACTTTCCTCAAATAAGACCTGTTAATGTATGCTGTGAAGAGTTTGCCACGACGGTGTTTCAATTATTTCTTTACTCACGCAGTCAAAACCAGACACTTTCCACAGCTTCTTTAGTTCAAAGATCTGCAGGAACATACTCCTCAGGGCAACAACAATGATTGACGATAGCACACACTGTAAAGTAAAATATTATGACCAGCTTTATTTACAATGCATTGCAGTAAAAGGAATAATGTATATATGATATTGAATAGAATGAACATTAAAATGTGTGATATTAATACCTCAGATATGCTATCATATTTGTACGAAGGAACAATATTATTAATTGTAACAATTTTTAGAAAACTATTCCTGATAATATAGGTATGTTCATTAATTATGACCGTGGACTGGTAATAGCTTATTAAGTGGCATTGACTTGACTGCATCTTATATATACATTCTCGTCGATTCCGTTTATGGTATCTTTAATGAACACATTTTCATGTACTTACGTTTGGCAAGGATTCAAACAATGGTCCGATGATAAGGATAACAACTAGAACTAGCGCTGCCGAAAACAGACTCGTTATCTAGTAAAGAACGAAAAGAAAATTTAAATTTATTTGCAAACGAATGAGACATACAATGGCCACCCGATCGCGCAATGAGTCGGTCTGCAGAGAAATCTAACATGGATTTCTTTGCAGTTATCACCAAACGAACGTGACAATATTGAAAACATAAATTAACGCAAACTAAATCATGATTTCAGTCATATTGACTATAAATGTCAACTTACACGTTGTTGTTTTTTTGTACAATAAAAGTATGCAATTTTTTTATTACGGCGAACTCCATTATACATATGATAGGGTTATATATGAATATAATATATAAATATATAACACTAATTAATAAAGCTCAATTAAAACATTATAAAGCATTACCTATTGAGCCAGACGTGTTAAATGTTACTTGTATTAGCCATCAGGTGTCAGTGAACTATTGAGCCAGACATGTTAAATGTTACTTTTATTAGCCATCAGGTATCGGTGAACTATTGAGCCAGACGTGTTAAATGTTACTTGTATTATAGCCATCAGGTGTCAGTGAACTATTGAGACAGACATGTTAAATGCTACCTGTATTAGCCTTCAGGTGTCAGTAAACTATTGAGCCAGACATGTTAAATGTTACTTTTATTAGCCATCAGGTGTCGGTGAACTATTGAGCCAGACGTGGTAAATGTTACTTGTATTAGCCTTCAGGTGTCAGTGAACTATTGAGACAGACATGTTAAATGTTACCTGTATTAGCCTTCAGGTGTCAGTGAACTATTGAGTCAGACATAATAAATATTTCCTGTATTAGCCATCAGGTGTCAGTGAACTATTGAGACAGACGTGTTAAATGTTACTTGTATTAGCCATCAGGTGTCAGTGAACTGTTGAGCCAGACATGTTAAATGTTACCTGTATTAACCATCAGGTGTCAGTGGACTATTGAACCAGACATGTTAAAAGTTACTTGTATTAGCCATCAGGTGTCAGTGTACTATTGAGCCAGACGTGTTAAATGTTACCTGTATTAGCCATCAGGTGTCAGTGAAATATTGAACCAGACATGTTAAATGTTACCTGTATTAGCCATCAGGTGTCAGTGAACTATTGAACCAGACATGTTAAATGTTACTTGTATTAGTCATCAGGTGTCAGTAAACTGTTGAGCTAGACATGTTAAATGTTACTTGTATTATCCATCAGGGGTCAGTAAACTGACCTGAGAAATCTTACTTGTATTAGCCATCAGGTGCCAATGAACTATTGAACCAGACATGTTGAATGTTACTTGCATTAACCATCAGGTGTCAGTAAACTGACCTGAGAAATATTACTTGTATTAGCCATCAGGTGCCAGTGAACTGTTGAGCCAGACATGTTGAATGTTACCTGCATTAGCCTTCAGGTGTTAGTAAACTGACCTGAGAAATGTTACTTGTAATAGCCATCAGGTGTCAGTGAACTGTTGAGCCAGACATGTTAAATGTTACCTGTATTAGCCATCAGGTGTCAGTGAACTGTTGAACCAGACGTGTTAAATGTTACCTGTATTAGCCTTTAGGTGTCAGTGAACTGTTGAGCCAGACATGTTAAATGTTACCTGTATTAGCCATCAGGTGTCAGTGAACTGTTGAAACAGACGTGTTAAATGTTACCTGTATTAGCCTTCAGGTGTCAGGGAACTATTGAGACAGACGGGTTAAATGTTACCTGTATTAGCCTTCAAGTGTCAGTGAACTGTTGAGCCAGACATGTTAAATGTTACTTGTAATAGCCATCAGGTGTCAGTGAACTGTTGAGCCAGACGTGTTAAATGTTACTTGTATTAGCCATCAGGTGTCGGTGAACTATTGAGCCAGACGTGTTAAATGTTACCTGTATTAGCCATCAGGTGTCAGTAAACTGTTGAGCCAGACATGTTAAATGTTACTTGTATTAGCCATCAGGTGTCGGTGAACTATTGAGCCAGACGTGTTAAATGTTACCTGTATTAGCCATCAGGTGTCAGTAAACTGTTGAGCCAGACATGTTAAATGTTACTTGTATTAGCCATCAGGTGTCGGTGAACTATTGAGCCAGACGTGTTAAATGTTACCTGTATTAGCCATCAGGTGTCAGTAAACTGTTGAGCCAGACATGTTAAATGTTACTTGTATTAGCCATCAGGTGTCGGTGAACTATTGAGCCAGACGTGTTAAATGTTACCTGTATTAGCCATCAGGTGTCAGTAAACTGTTGAGCCAGACATGTTAAATGTTACTTGTATTAGCCTTCAGGTGTCAGTGAACTATTGAGACAGACGTGTTAAATGTTACTTGTATTAGCCATCAGGTGTCAGTGAACTATTGAGCCAGACGTGTTAAATGTTACCTGTATTAGCCATCAGGTGTCAGTAAACTGTTGAGCCAGACATGTTAAATGTTACTTGTATTAGCCATCAGGTGTCAGTGAACTATTGAGCCAGACGTGTTAAATGTTACCTGTATTAGCCATCAGGTGTCAGTAAACTGTTGAGCCAGACATGTTAAATGTTACTTGTATTAGCCATCAGGTGTCAGTGAACTATTGAGCCAGACGTGTTAAATGTTACCTGTATTAGCCATCAGGTGTCAGTAAACTGTTGAGCCAGACATGTTAAATGTTACTTGTATTAGCCATCAGGTGTCAGTGAACTATTGAGCCAGACGTGTTAAATGTTACCTGTATTAGCCATCAGGTGTCAGTAAACTGTTGAGCCAGACATGTTAAATGTTACTTGTATTAGCCATCAGGTGTCAGTGAACTATTGAGCCAGACGTGTTAAATGTTACCTGTATTAGCCATCAGGTGTCAGTAAACTGTTGAGCCAGACATGTTAAATGTTACTTGTATTAGCCATCAGGTGTCAGTGAACTATTGAGCCAGACGTGTTAAATGTTACCTGTATTAGCCATCAGGTGTCAGTAAACTGTTGAGCCAGACATGTTAAATGTTACTTGTATTAGCCATCAGGTGTCAGTGAACTATTGAGCCAGACGTGTTAAATGTTACCTGTATTAGCCATCAGGTGTCAGTAAACTGTTGAGCCAGACATGTTAAATGTTACTTGTATTAGCCATCAGGTGTCAGTGAACTATTGAGCCAGACGTGTTAAATGTTACCTGTATTAGCCATCAGGTGTCAGTAAACTGTTGAGCCAGACATGTTAAATGTTACTTGTATTAGCCATCAGGTGTCAGTGAACTATTGAGCCAGACGTGTTAAATGTTACCTGTATTAGCCATCAGGTGTCAGTAAACTGTTGAGCCAGACATGTTAAATGTTACTTGTATTAGCCATCAGGTGTCAGTGAACTATTGAGCCAGACGTGTTAAATGTTACCTGTATTAGCCATCAGGTGTCAGTAAACTGTTGAGCCAGACATGTTAAATGTTACTTGTATTAGCCATCAGGTGTCAGTGAACTATTGAGCCAGACGTGTTAAATGTTACCTGTATTAGCCATCAGGTGTCAGTAAACTGTTGAGCCAGACATGTTAAATGTTACTTGTATTAGCCATCAGGTGTCAGTGAACTATTGAGCCAGACGTGTTAAATGTTACCTGTATTAGCCATCAGGTGTCAGTAAACTGTTGAGCCAGACATGTTAAATGTTACTTGTATTAGCCATCAGGTGTCAGTGAACTATTGAGCCAGACGTGTTAAATGTTACCTGTATTAGCCATCAGGTGTCAGTAAACTGTTGAGCCAGACATGTTAAATGTTACTTGTATTAGCCATCAGGTGTCAGTGAACTATTGAGCCAGACGTGTTAAATGTTACCTGTATTAGCCATCAGGTGTCAGTGAACTATTGAGCCAGACGTGTTAAATGTTACCTGTATTAGCCATCAGGTGTCAGTGAACTATTGAGCCAGACGTGTTAAATGTTACCTGTATTAGCCATCAGGTGTCAGTGAACTATTGAGCCAGACGTGTTAAATGTTACCTGTATTAGCCATCAGGTGTCAGTAAACTGTTGAGCCAGACATGTTAAATGTTACTTGTATTAGCCATCAGGTGTCAGTGAACTATTGAGCCAGACGTGTTAAATGTTACCTGTATTAGCCATCAGGTGTCAGTAAACTGTTGAGCCAGACATGTTAAATGTTACTTGTATTAGCCTTCAGGTGTCAGTGAACTATTGAGACAGACGTGTTAAATGTTACTTGTATTAGCCATCAGGTGTCAGTGAACTATTGAGCCAGACGTGTTAAATGTTACCTGTATTAGCCATCAGGTGTCAGTGAAATATTGAACCAGACATGTTAAATGTTACCTGTATTAGCCATCAGGTGTCAGTGAACTATTGAACCAGACATGTTAAATGTTACTTGTATTAGTCATCAGGTGTCAGTAAACTGTTGAGCTAGACATGTTAAATGTTACTTGTATTATCCATCAGGGGTCAGTAAACTGACCTGAGAAATCTTACTTGTATTAGCCATCAGGTGCCAATGAACTATTGAACCAGACATGTTGAATGTTACTTGCATTAACCATCAGGTGTCAGTAAACTGACCTGAGAAATATTACTTGTATTAGCCATCAGGTGCCAGTGAACTGTTGAGCCAGACATGTTAAATGTTACCTGCATTAGCCTTCAGGTGTTAGTAAACTGACCTGAGAAATGTTACTTGTAATAGCCATCAGGTGTCAGTGAACTGTTGAGCCAGACGTGCTAAATGTTACTTTTATTAGCCATCAGGTGTCGGTGAACTATTGAGCCAGACGTGTTAAATGTTACCTGTATTAGCCATCAGGTGTCAGTAAACTGTTGAGCCAGACATGTTAAATGTTACTTGTATTAGCCTTCAGGTGTCAGTGAACTATTGAGACAGACGTGTTAAATGTTACCTGTATTAGCCATCAGGTGTCAGTGAACTATTGAGCCAGACGTGTTAAATGTTACCTGTATTAGCCATCAGGTGTCAGTGAACTGTTGAGCCAGACGTGTTAAATGCTACCTGTATTAGCCTTTAGGTGTCAGTGAACTGTTGAGCCAGACATGTTAAATGTTACCTGTATTAGCCATCAGGTGTCAGTGAACTGTTGAGCCAGACGTGTTAAATGCTACCTGTATTAGCCTTTAGGTGTCAGTGAACTGTTGAGCCAGACATGTTAAATGTTACCTGTATTAGCCATCAGGTGTCAGTGAACTGTTGAGCCAGACGTGTTAAATGCTACCTGTATTAGCCTTTAGGTGTCAGTGAACTGTTGAGCCAGACATGTTAAATGTTACCTGTATTAGCCATCAGGTGTCAGTGAACTGTTGAGCCAGACGTGTTAAATGCTACCTGTATTAGCCTTTAGGTGTCAGTGAACTGTTGAGCCAGACATGTTAAATGTTACCTGTATTAGCCATCAGGTGTCAGTGAACTGTTGAGCCAGACGTGTTAAATGCTACCTGTATTAGCCTTTAGGTGTCAGTGAACTGTTGAGCCAGACATGTTAAATGTTACCTGTATTAGCCATCAGGTGTCAGTGAACTGTTGAGCCAGACGTGTTAAATGCTACCTGTATTAGCCTTCAGGTGTCAGTGAACTGTTGAGCCAGACATGTTAAATGTTACCTGTATTAGCCTTCAGGTGTCAGGGAACTATTGAGCCAGACATGTTAAATGTTACTTGTAATAGCCATCAGGTGTCAGTGAACTGTTGAACCAGACATGTTAAATGTTACCTGTATTAGCCTTCAAGTGTCAGTGAACTATTGAACCAGACATGTTAAATGTTACCTGTATTATCCTTCAAGTGTCAGGTAACTATTGAGACAGACGGGTTAAATGTTACCTGTATTAGCCTTCAAGTGTCAGTGAACTATTGAACCAGACATGTTAAATGTTACCTGTATTATCCTTCAAGTGTCAGGTAACTATTGAGACAGACGGGTTAAATGTTACCTGTATTAGCCTTCAAGTGTCAGTGAACTATTGAACCAGACATGTTAAATGTTACCTGTATTAGCCTTCAAGTGTCAGGTAACTATTGAGACAGACGGGTTAAATGTTACCTGTATTAGCCTTCAAGTGTCAGTGAACTGTTGAGCCAGACATGTTAAATGTTACTTGTAATAGCCATCAGGTGTCAGTGAACTATTGAGCCAGACGTGTTAAATGTTACCTGTATTAGCCATCAGGTGTCAGTGAACTGTTGAGCCAGACGTGTTAAATGTTAAATGTTACTTGTATTAGTCATCAGGTGTCAGTAAACTGTACTGAGAAATGTTACTTGTATTAGCCATCAGGTGCCAATGAACTATTGAACCAGACATGTTAAATGTTACTTGTATTAGCCATCAGGTGTCAGTAAACTGACCTGAGAAATATTACTTGTATAAGCCATCAGGTGCCGGTGAACTGTTGAGCCAGACATGTTAAATGTTACCTGTATTAGCCTTCAGGTGTTAGTAAACTGACCTGAGAAATGTTACTTGTAATAGCCATCAGGTGTCAGTGAACTGTTGAGCCAGACATGTTAAATGTTACTTGTATTAGCCATCAGGTGTCAGGTAACTACTGAGCCAGACATGTTAAATGTTACTTGTATAAGCCATCAGGTGTCAGTGAACTGTTGAGCCAGACGGGTTAAATGTTACTTGTATTAGCCTTCAGGTGTCAGTGAACTATTGAGCCACACATGTTAAATGTTACCTGTATTAGCCTTCAGGTGTTAGTAAACTGACCTGAGAAATGTTACTTGTAATAGCCATCAGGTGTCAGTGAACTGTTGAGCCAGACATGTTAAATGTTACTTGTATTTGCCTTCAGGTGCCAGTGAACTGTTGAGTCAGACATGTTAAATGTTACCTATATTAGCCATCAGGTGTCAGTGAACTGTTGAGCCAGACGGGTTAAATGTTACCTGTATTAGCCATCAGGTGTCAGTGAAGTATTGAGCCAACCGTGTTAAATGTTACCTGTATTAGCCTTCAGGTGTCAGGGAACTGATGAGACAGACGTGGTAAATGTTACCTGTATTAGCCTTCAGGTGTCAGGTAACTATTGAGACAGACGTGTTAAATGTTACCTGTGTTAGCCTTCAGGTGTCAGTGAACTATTGAGACAGACGGGTTAAATGTTACTTGTATTAGCCATCAGGTATCAGGTAACTATTGAAGCAGACATGTTAAATGTTACTTGTATTAGCAATCAGGTGTCAGTGAACTATTGAGCCAGACGGGTTAAATGTTACCTGTATTAGCCATCAGGTGTCAGTGAAGTATTGAGCCAAAGTGTTAAATGTTACCTGTATTAGCCTTCAGGTGTCAGGGAACTGATGAGACAGACGTGGTAAATGTTACCTGTATTAGCCTTCAGGTGTCAGTGAACTATTGAGACAGACGGGTTAAATGTTACCTGTATTAGCCATCAGGTGTCAGTGAACTATTGAGACAGACGGGTTAAATGTTACTTGTATTAGCCATCAGGTATCAGTGAACTATTGAGACAGACGGGTTAAATGTTACCTGCATTAGCCTTCAGGTGTCAGGGAACTTACCTGAGATTTTCCTCCTGCTGAATCTTGTACAGAACTCCGAGAAACAGAGGCGGCAAATGGGTAACAGGAGAAAAATGAGCCGAAGATGTTACCAAAACCATACGCTACAAACTCCTGTAAGAAATATAGAGGAATACCATTATATCTTATCTAGGTTACATACTTACTAATAATATCCAACAAATATGAACGCCAAAATAAGAAATATATATAACTGCTTTATACTTCTTTGATGTTATCGATCCTTGATCAGATAATAAACAAACACATAAGCTTCCTTTTAATATGATTCAATATGTACAAACGATATATTGTTTCCAGTCCTCAACTTATCATTTCATTGCTTTTGATTCAGAATGAATTTATCTACAAAAGGCAATGACAACCTGTCTGACAGAGTATATACCTGGTTAGAGTCGATGACGTAGCCGTGTTTTTTAGCCATCAGAGATGCCAATGACACAGACTGTGCGAACGCCACTATGGCCACGATGACAGCGTCACTAAAGTATTCTCCCATACCCGTAAAGGTGGGTAGGATCGGGTCAGGCAAACTGTTAGGAGGTAGAAATAGTTTTGTGGATTTGTTACTCCGGATTCAGTAAACGGACACGTTCTACACGTACAAATTCGTATGGCTTGTATTCCTAAAAATAACCTATAAGTGTGCCAATTTAGTAAAACTTTGTATTCTTTTTGTATGTACAGTGTATTGTCTTAAATGTTAATGCATATTTCTGGAGATTAAGCAGTGTGTGTTTGTATATAAAGTTAAGTAAGAGAAAATGTATTGGCATTGGTTAGTTTGGATAGTTAGTGATGTAGTGAAAGAAAATACCAACGTGTTGCATCCCAGATATACCTACTGTACCCTTGATAAAATGGATTGAAAACATAAACAATAGCAATGCGTTATTGTTTGTGATGTTTTGCTTCTCACTGTAGATAAATGTAAAGGTGGCTGATGTATTTAACGGAACTGACAGTTATTCTGATGCGTATAATATTTAATGGAACTGACTGTAATTGTGATGAGTGTGATATATGCCGTTAACGAATATAAATGTGAAGAGATGTAATATTCCGTGTTTTTGTAAGGGTATTAGACATTTTCGTTAAATGCGAGTTGTTTGTCTTTTCGCAAATTAATACCGATTAAAAACAAGCAATGCAAACTGTAACGTGTTTACTGAAAAAATACATATGTTACTGTTGTGAAATTTCTCTGAAAGCAATCAGATGACAGATAAAATACATTCCAGGAACGAAACCGGGTATCACCAATATATAGTCATGGTCTAGAGTTTAAAAGCACGATACGTTTAATATGTCATTGACATATATAACAGATGTAGGTCGGTAAAACAAAATACGACAATAAAATGTACAATTTCTCGGTTAAAACGACAGACTATTATTGCTAGCAAATATTATCAAAATTTCCTTTAAATTAGCCGTGCTTTTCCAACTCTAAACGTCATGATGTATATAACTTAATACAATTACGTTCTATTTTGTAATTTCTTAAATTACTTACAGATATTTTCTGCAATTAAAGGATAGAACAATATAGTTGATTACAAGCGATGCGTTTTCTACCATGTACAAATATAACAACCTATTAGTCATAACATGCAATGTGTACTATCATTTGTTCTATACTTTCCAATTTGTTGCAAGCAATTCTTTCCTTTATATATCCTTATAACTACCAGTAAGATTTAAACATGCAACGCTTTTCATTATGTAGCATTATAATTAAGAAATAGTCGTCGACAAGCGATGCGTTCCATCATGTAACAAACAATTAGAAATAAAAACGAAGTATATCTTAATACATTTTTTCATTAAACAAGCTACCATCGTCAGTAACGGCATAAACTAACCTAAACTTAAACATTTAATCGGTTCACTGACAGTACAGCTTTAGTAAATATATAGGTAAATACTAAGTATCTCTGTTAATGTTTCGATAAACTAAACATCAATGTAACAGGTCTAAAAGAATCATTACATAGACTGATTTCACTTGGAAGCCTCACAGAATATAGGACTATATGACAAGCAGTTATAAGACAATACATACCCTGCAGGAATCTCACCGACGACTTTCATGTCGTAATTAACCTTGAATTTGGCGAAATGTGAAACAACTGTCCCAATGATAACCTATTGAATAAAAATTCATAAAATAAACAATGTTCTCACCTCGTGCACACGGAATTAGTATATTTGCCACCTTTCTGTTTATTTACTTTACCGACATATATGGTATAAAAACTCGCAATGCAAACGGCCGTGATTATTAAACAAAAACCACCCATATTTACACTGTAGAATTCCTCACATATAAAAACCACACCAAACAAACAAACAACAAAATCCTGATTTGTCATTGTTCATTATGTTATGATTTATTAAAGCTTAGTGTCCCTCAACGAAAGTTTTTAGTGAAGAGAGTGAAAATAAACCTTGATAACGGCAGATTGTGTTAGGAAGTGCATATCATGCCCCTGCTCCACTTCTTTCTGTAAACATATACTTACCGTAAATGTACTATAACCCCAACACCACCTCTTTCGGTACATCTGTACTTACCGCAAATATACTATAACCCCTACCCACCTCCTTATGTGACCTGTACTAACCGCAAATGTACTATAGCCCGTACACCACCTCTTTCTGTAAATCTGTACTTACCACAAATAACTCGATAGGTAGAGGAACCTTCAGTTTATCCTTAAACCTTTGGTTGATCTGGACTTTGACAAGATAAATAAACACAATGCAAACAGCTGACGTTACTACTGTAGCCAACTGCGCCTCGTGGATACTGCTGAATATGGCTTTATATGTCTGGAATATAGTATACATGAAAATGTATCATCACAAATATTTACTGGTATCTATTAACCTTCGCAACAAGGTTTACTAAATGGTTAATAGTATTATGGCTAATATAATAATCTAACCTTGTTAACAAAATGGACATTTATTGAGAGCCTTTCACAGACGCATAATACAGCATGACCAAAATATAAGAGTGTCGTAATTTGATTAAAGGGAAAGAACTCTCACTAAACATAAAATTTGCATCTTAAGGAGTTTCCACCTTTCGTAATACACATGTTTTAACGTGTTATAATCTCTTGAATTATAAAACAAATTAAGACATGGAACACTGTTTGTAATTAATTAAATTTCAAACAACACAAAGTTTGTACAGCTGTCATATTAACTTACATAAACGATCTGGAACAGATTTCCGAATCGTGGAATGTCCAGCCCAAAAATATACTTGACTTGACTGGTAAAGACGTGGACGGCTGCGCCTGTGGTAAACCCACTGACGAGTGGGTCGGACATGTAGGTAGTCACAAACCCCAGCCGACACGCCCCGAATATCACCTAGGAACAAATGTAACGAGAAATGGTTTGGACGACAAATGACTCAATGTTTCCTTTATCCACAGGTGTTAAATAAAAGACAGCGATAATAAATTCAAGTAAAAATAATTTTAAAAAACCCCACTAATGATCACGCATTAATTAAACCGATTTATGTTAGTTTCCAGTCGTCTAACCATCAATATTGAACGCTTTCTGAAAATTCTAACTTTTTTTAACCATATAATTTGTATATTAATTTTATTAAATTTTCTACTTTTTGGGGTTGCGCTATGATGTTACCTCCAGAAACAATTTCATCTTTTTAATCTCTGCAAGAAGACAGACGGGCGTCTCACGTGTCTTACCAGTGTGACCATCACCAGGAGATATGACCATGATCTTGGGACAGGACTATAACACGTGACTTACCTGTATGATCCCAACTAAGAGACAGAAGGAAGACACTATGGCAATCTTCTGCATGTCTATATCGTGTTTAGATAACAGGTTGACAGGGGGCGCTCCGGGCGTCGTAGTCGACATGTTCACACTAGAATTGCCAAAGAACATCTCAGTTCCATTCCCTGACCATCCTCGTCCTGCTACCTCCTCTGTGTACTGAGGTCCTAGTCTGGCCAGGACTGACCCCGTCATCAAACTGACCACGGCAACCGTTCCTACAATGATAAAGACATATTGTATTTGTTAAAACTACTCCAAAATAGTTGTACATATTGAGTGTAATTGACTCACTACAATGTTTGTCAGTGGATTCAAAAAATGAGACAAACATAACTATTAAATTTCAGAAAAAAGCGATACCATTTATTCGCTTCATGTGTACAATTAATAGAATACCATTCATGTAATAAAACCTGTAATATCGAAACTGTACTGAACTTTATTGTTTTGAACCAAATAATGTTATAGAAACCGACGTTTTTTAAAATTGCAAAAAAAACTAGAGAAATAAAGAGTTTTCGTTTTATCTTCTTACACTTATTTTTGGTGCGCGAAATGCCAATGACGAAATACTGTGATTGAACTGAACAAATGGGTAATGGGTATAGATAAGGACAGTTAATGGGTAATTGGTATAGATAAGGACAGTTAATGGGTAACGGGTATAGATAAGGACAGTTAATGGGTTATGGGAATAGATAAGGACAGTTAATGGGTAATGAGTATAGACAAGGACAGTTAATGGGTAATGGGTATAGATAAAGACAGTTAATGGGTAATGGGTATAGATGAGGTCAGTAAATGGGTAATGGGTATAGATAAGAACAGTACATGGGCAATGGGTATAGATAAGGACAGTTAATGGGGAATGGGTATAGATAAGGACAGTAAATGGGTAATGGTTTAGATAAGGACAGTAAATGGGTAATGGGCATAGGTAAGGACAGTAAATGGGTAATGGGTATAGATAAGGAAAGAAAATGGGTAATGGGTATAGATAAGGACAGAAAATGGGTAATGGGTATAGATAAGGACAGAAAATGGGTAATGGGTATAGATAAGGACAGAAAATGGGTAATGGGTAAAGATAAGGACAGTTAATGGGTAATGGGAATAGATAGGGACAGTTAATGGGTAATGAGTATAGATAAAGACAGTTAATGGGTAATGGGTATAGATGAGGTCAGTAAATGGGTAATGGGTATAGATAAGAACAGTAAATGGGTAATGGGTATAGATAAGGATAGTTAATGGGTAATGGGTATAGATAAGGCCAGTTAATGGGTAATGGGTATAGATAATGACAGTTAATGGGTAATGAGTATAGATAAGGACAGTTAATGGGTAATGGGTTTAGATAAGGACAGTTAATGGGTAATGGTATAGATAAGGACAGTTAATGGGTACTTGGTATATATATGGACAGTAAATGGGTAATGGGTATAGATGAGGACAGTAAATGGGTAATGGGTATAGATGAGGACAGTAAATGGGTAATGGGTATAGTTAAGGACAGTAAATGGGTAATGGGTATATATAAGGACAGTAAATGGGTAATGGGTATATATAAGGACAGTAAATGGGTAATGGGTTAGATAAGGACAGTAAATGGGTACTGGGTATAGATAAGGACAGTAAATGGGAAATGGGTATAGATAAGGACAGTAAATGGGTAAGGGGTATAGATAAGGACAGTTAATGGGTACTGGGTATATTTAAGGACAGTAAATGGGAAATGGGTATAGATAAGGACAGTAAATGGGGAATGGGTATAGATAAGGACAGTAAATTGGTATTGGGTATAGATAAGGACAGTTAATGGGAAATGGGTATAGATAAGGACAGTAAATGGGGAATGGGTATAGATAAGGACAGTAAATGGGGAATGGGTATAGATAAGGACAGTTAATGGGGAATGGGTATAGATAAGGACAGTAAATTGGTATTGGGTATAGATAAGGACAGTTAATGGGGACTGGGTATAGATATGGACAGTAAATGGGTAATGGGTATAGATGAGGACAGTAAATGGGTAATGGGTATAGATGAGGACAGTAAATGGGTAATGGGTATAGATAAGGACAGAAAATGGGTAATGGGTAAAGATAAGGACAGTTAATGGGTAATGGGGATAGATAAGGACAGTAAATGGGTAATGGGGATATATAAGGACAGTTAATGGGTAATGGGTAAAGATAAGGACAGTTAATGGGTAATGGGTAAAGATAAGGACAGTTAATGGGTAATGAGATTGAACTGAACAAATGGGTAATGGGTATAGATAAGGATAGTTAATGGGTAATGGGTATAGATAAGAACAGTACATGGGCAATGGGTATAGATAAGGACAGTTAATGGGTTATGGGAATAGATAAGGACAGTTAATGGGTAATGGTATAGATAAGGACAGTTAATGGGTAACGGGTATAGATAAGGACAGTTAATGGGTTATGGGAATAGATAAGGACAGTTAATGGGTAATGAGTATAGACAAGGACAGTTAATGGGTAATGGGTATATATAAGGACAGTAAATGGGAAATGGGTATAGATAAGGACAGTTAATGGGGACTGGGTATAGATATGGACAGTAAATGGGTAATGGGTATAGATGAGGACAGTAAATGGGTAATGGGTATAGATAAGAACAGTAAATGGGTAATGGGTATAGATAAGAACAGTACATGGGCAATGGGTATAGATAAGGACAGTTAATGGGTAACGGGTATAGATAAGGACAGTTAATGGGTAATTGGTATAGATAAGGACAGTTAATGGGTAGTGGGTATTGATAAGGACAGTTAATGGGCAATGGGTATAGATAAGGACAGTTAATGGGTTATGGGAATAGATAAGGACAGTTAATGGGAAATGGGTATAGATAAGGACAGTTAATGGGTACTGGGTATAGACATGGACAGTAAATGGGTAATGGGTATAGATAAGGATAGTTAATGGGTAATGGGTATAGATAAGGCCAGTTAATGGGTAATGGGTATAGATAAAGACAGTTAATGGGTAATGGGTATAGATAAGGCCAGTTAATGGGTAATGGGTATAGATAAAGACAGTTAATGGGTAATGGGTATAGATGAGGTCAGTAAATGGGTAATGGGTATAGGTAAGGACAGTTAATGGGTAATGGGTATGGGTATAGATAAGGACAGTTAATGGGTAATGGGTATAGATAAGTACAGTTAATGGGTAGTGGGTATTGATAAGGACAGTTAATGGGTAATGGGTATAGATAAGGACAGTTAATGGGTAATGGGTATAGATAAGGACAGTTAATGGGTAATGGGTATAGATAAGGGTTAGTTTTGGTAAAGGTTCATGGCAGATCGTACAGGAGTTATACATTTTTGTTTCTCTCACTCTTGAATACACCTCTGATCGATATACATCACATTTTATGAAGAATCACATGTTGCATCAGATCAATTTAACGATATTAGTAGGCATGTCAAGTGCTCATCTTACCCATTGATATATGTCTTGATGTCCCGAAGAAGAAATAGACCATGACAGGGAAGAAAGACATGTAAAGGCCTACTACAGGGGGGAGGTCAGCCAACATCGAGTACGCCATACCTAAAATGACGATATCAAATTTCAAAATATATACGACATGATCCAATATAAAATTATCAAATGGTTTCAATCATCATTGGAAGTAATTTTCATTTAAATCTTGGCAAATATATGTTGTAAGAAATCATGATGGGAGAAATTCACTTCAAAATGTCACTTTTTGCCTTTTGATATCATGAAACATAATGAATTTAATAAGCATCACAACTCTTCGAAAACTTTGACCAATACATTTTTTTTATTAAACTGTCTTGACAGTCCCCTATGAGCCTCGATAGTCCCCTTAACATCAACACACAAGACATAGAGCCTCGATAGTCCCCTTAACATCATCATTTAAGACAAAGAGCCTCGCTAGTTCACTTAACATCAGCGTCCAATACATAGAGCATCAATAGTCCCCTTAACATCAACACCCAAGGCAAAGAGCCTCGGTAGTCCCCTTAACATCATCCAAGACAAAGACCTGCTCGAGGGTACCACAATCACCAGCGTTCGAGCAACTGAACCTGGACAATCACTAGCAACCCAGATACGAGTGTCTCGGATTGTGGGGGTAATTCTTCAATGTTTCCATTATACTGTGAAACCTTATAGTAGTATTCCTCCTCACTATACTAAACATAGCCACTATAATGTTACCCTTACAATACTATAAAATATTACCATAATATACCGTAATATAACCGTTATCGTACTTTGCATCCCTGCTTAGCTATATACTTCACTATTAATCTGAACAGGATTGCGAACGAGTCAAATAACGTGTATTAAAGCGATATTAGCCATCAGTGTCACCCTTCTTATTTGTTACTCTTTTTCTGATAGATTAATTTACCCGGGACTATATTTCTAAAGACCCTGCTCTACCGGGGTCTATCAAAGCACGTGCGAGGGGAAATAACTCAAACTAGAATCTCTCTCCATAACAACAAAGATGGCGTCCAACACACACAAGAGTTCGAGGTTTGCATTCACAGGATGAAATAGCCTACAAGCAATCTAAAACGACAGCAAATTCAACGAAACAGGCATTGGTGAGGCCGCTAGGGTGCTTATTACATTTGTACAAAGATGGTTGCGCATTGTCCGAAATATTGCCCACCGGGGAAATTTTGATAGCAGTCAAGTACAACTCAAACTCACAAAGTGACTTATAATTTTTTAGAAAAAAAAGTAATAAAAGATTGTCAGGGTGAAAAATTCGTTATCTAGGGGTTAAGAGGGGTCTACTTGCTCATAGACCCCTTTGGTCTTTATAGACCAGACGGGGTATATGAGCCCGTAGACTCCTCCTACCCCAGATATAACTAATAGTGCTTGCAATCCTGTACAAATTGTATATTTCTTCTTCATAGTTGAGAGAGATTTTGAATTACAAGCATATGCTTTAGCCAGTATCGGCCAGCTGCTTCCAACGATATCATTATGATTTCACAATAGTTATGACGTCACGATTATAACTCCAGAGCTTTGGTATGATATCCTATATTTCTATCAACCCTTACTTTGTGGAAGCTGCATGATTCCGACGGTAAAACCAGCGATAATATCACTTGGGAGATCTAATTTCCAGTTATATTTCTGGTACATCTTGATGAAAGGTAAGAGTTTATGACAGAACTTTTTCCGCCTCTCACTTGTGCATGCGCACATGCTGGAGACCTGCTCCTTGCACTGTTTTGCGATGGAAGTAGGTTCATTTTCGGGCTGTTTGAAGTCTTTATAGAACGAGGAAGTTCTATACAGCCTCTGTTTAATGTTCACATACGGGTCCTTTTCAGGGTCTACCATAATAGGATGACTGGTACAGTCCACGTCCATTACCACGTGATACGTTGGAACTGACATGTTGTCCATTGTAGGTCTCAGATGATTGTGACAAGAATGTAAGAAACTGAAAAAGATGAAATAAGAACTTTGAGACTATGTGTTTTGTTATATATAATATGTCTTAATCTTAAAAGTTAATTAGCGATACTTCTTTTCCTCCATCGGGATTTACACATTACAAAAAGACTACGATGCACATGGTCATTCTCAAGAATATGAGATGTGATTTATATAAACGTCATCTGTATTGATTAGTTGTGACATGACAGAAAATTTATCAAGTATAACATTAATTTGTTTTTCTGTACTTGATCTGTTTACAAATCGAAACACGTGTGCATGTCATGAAAATTCATATTAGTGCCATACAGATATTTCGTTTTATATATAAAGATACATATATTAAAATTTCTCCATATTATCATAATGGTATGCTTTCCATTGCATTCTAATCACCTGCATTTGAAATTTGAAATCACAAACACACACTTATATAAACCATATGCTAACAGAGCAGGAAAATTGAATTCATCTAAATAACATGTGACAGTGATTTCTCTGGCAGTGTAGACATACACGTCTGTTACACCAAATAGTTGTAATGTTATTTATCGTGAAAAACCGTTGTACAATTGATAACAAGTGTGGTTATAGACAAAAGAAATAACATCAAACTGCTAAAATTAGTTTTCTAAACATTGTTCAGACTTTCAGCGACTTTCATATTTATTACTTAACATTGTCTTCGGATGAGTTATTTTGACTTTTAATCATTTCAAATTCAAATTCTTTTATTACATTGAGCTTTACAGTACACACATGCAAATATTACAAAATAAACACATGATATACGTTTACTTATCAAATAAGAACGGTCTTCTCTGTCAACAGTTACAGTTTTACCTAAAGAAAAAAATTGCTTTAAAGTTAGAAAAACATTATCTCCAGTTCAATCATGCTAGTTGGCTAATGCTTAGAATTTAATGATGTATTTTAGCATTTTATAAAGCATACTTCATTTACCTACCTTCATTTAACTATTCGTGTTGTTAATGCAGACATAACAATCAGTCTTACCACAAAACATTTCAGGGATTCTATCTCATATGTTATCATCCAACGCAAATCCAAGGAGAATCGAATCCTGCCTTGTGGCTATGTTCAAATGAATAATACAGCACTCTTTGACGTACGCTGTGTCAGTCAGATTACCAGTAACTGGCCGGAGACAAAATGAGTGTCTATCTTTGGGCCCCACTATTGAATGGTTTGTTTAAACGCTTCACCTGGACATGTATCATAGCGACAGATACATGGCCAAATGTCAGTGGGTTGATACCTTATACCTTTACCCAGCGCCTCAGTGTGAAAAGTTGCGTACTTTAAAACATTTTGTAGAAGAGCAAGCGCTTTATAGGATGTGACGAATTAACGTCTATGTGATAGAAGAAAGGTGTGATCGCAAAGATGGATAAACATCCACCAGTATCCGTAAATGCATTCATCTAACGAAGACTGTAGTTTAAACTACATCACATGTGCATAATTATGTTATTTCGAGTAAGTGCGTAGTTTTCTAATATCAAATTGCCATCAACACTGTTTCTTTCTGCACTATACTGTTAAACATACGCAAGCACAAACACTTTTTATAGATTATAACTAATTTCAAGAAAGGCTTTTCTCCATTTTCCTGCCACATAAAACGTTTCAACCTGTATCATATCATGAGCATACCTACCGTTTCGGCTTCCCATTTTGAACACTGTTTGCTTCTCTCGTACGGTATATGTGTATGATCTTCTGACTACACGTCAGCGTACGCGTATGTGTGATTGTTTGCGTGAAAAATACTATGAAAGTGATACTGTAAGATGCATATGATAGTTAAATATATGTAGGATAGACACAGAGATAAAACCTCTTTTATCATTCGAGTCGCCCATGTGGCAACCGAATCCATGTTAATTTGATGCTTATTAAGTGAGATTTAAGTGAGATGTAACATGAACATGTTGATATTTTGAGCCAAAATAACACACCAACTTGTGATGCAAATCTTTATATTTTCGGATTGTATCATTTTGGTAAGTATACTGTACTGTCTGTCCATGTGTAAATTGTTCAGAATACCAGGAAAGTTTCTGTTTGCACCACCAGATGCCGTGAAATGTAAAGCAAGAGGCCCAAAGGGCCTGTACTGAGTATCTGTTCATACTTAAAGCAATTGACAGAGGGTGATAATATAACTCTATTGAAACTATAAAACTGATCGGCTGATTCTCATAAACTGGTTTAAATTAACACAGTGCTCCCATTGAATACAACATATACATAGCTGCTTAAGTTAAACATACCGTGTTGCTGAGGCAATGTTTATTATCACTTAAGGTCACAAATGAGAACTAACCATTATAATTACAAAGGAGAATGCAATCTTGCCTCGTGGCTTCTTAGTTACCATATTAACAAAACAAAAAATATATAAATCAACATCCGTTTACATTGACGTAAGTAATGTCAGTCATGTTACCGTGAACTGACTAGAGACAAAATGAGTGTCTATCCTCTGGCCCCCCGTTTGAATGGTTCGTTTTAACGCTTCACCTGGATATGTATTATAGCGACAGATACATGGCCTAATGTCAGTGGGCTGATACCTAATACCTTGTCCCAGCGCTTCAGTGGGAAACGTTGCGTACTTTAAATCATTTTGTAGGGAGATCCTGCTCTGTATGATGTGAAAATACATCTTAAGTTTTAGATAAGATGGGAATAACATTGACCAGCGTTTTAAAAATATATCATTTCAAAATTATCATTAAATAATAAGTAAAAGTATTTTGACTTGTTTGTGACTTTTCTCATCCGGAATTGTATCACATATTGCTTTTTTTTTATTTCCTAATCATCATAGCGAAATGTTCCATTTTGTAAGTATTTTATACAGTAAAATACATGTATAAATGTTAGTCATCCTGATAATCCCCAATCTTTGTAGTTCATTTAATAGAATACGATGACATACCTTCAACATGATACTTAAATCACAGGTTCATGGCAATGTCAAAAGGCCTTTTTAAAACACGAATTTGCCATCACCACATATAAATATATGAATCTGATCTTTTCGTCATCTTATTCCAATAGCTGTTATCAAAATTAAACACCTAACACAATTCCTTCCCGAGTTATTATCAATTCGGTACAAGTATTCAGAAATCAAGGTTGTCCCTAATTCTGTATAGTGGTCAGTGTGTAGTTTGTTACTACAAACATGCAACCTGCACCTCATTTCAATCATATTCCTTAATAATTTCAACTGAACTATGCTCTACAAGCACACAAAATAAAAAAGACCAGGTATATTTATAAATAGTGCCGTAGTAGGGACCTTATCTTGTATTGTTCATTACAAGTATGCTATTGTTTGTCTGTGTCTAAGCGTCCTATGGCCGACCTACGTTTATTGTTATAAGATTGTATATGACTAATGTAAAACACGGTAGGCTTCTAACTATAACTACGTATCATGCTTTGTGTCAATAATTGCTTGAAGCTAACTATACAATAATTGCAGAACTTGCTCATATTCTTCATATTGATCAACATATTCCCCAAGGGCAGTTACTGTCAGTTCTTCCTTTTGAACCTTTAACAGTGCATGTTTATCATAGCCATTCAAATCTTGGACAATTGGATTAGTCAAGAATATTGATGCAGACATGCCTTATTTCACTTTCGAAAGATTGTAGATACTTTCAAACAAACGGTCTTTCTCTTGTTCGACGTAAAACCTTTACAAGTGCAACACCTAATGACAGAAGTTTTGCTATCATTTCTCAATACTGTTTGTTTCCCTTATGTAATATAAGGTTTTGATTCTGCTTTATCGTTGGTGTAAATGTTAGAGTGAAAAGCATTGGTACGGTAGGATGTTACGTGTAGTTAACACGTACGATACAGGAATGGACATCATTATACCTTTAAACATACTTTTTAATGGCCGAGCTCTCTGCATGGTACCAGAAATCATGATTTTGTATATTTGCTGCTAATCAAGTGCCGTTATAGGATTAGATTGTCACATTGGAGATATATTTCCTGCTCCTGGTCAGTTTCACAAAGTGTTGATATATATATGTCATGATACAATGTACCTTAAATAATTTATATTTTGTTTCATGAAACCAGAGCTAAATACGTATACATACGTGTAGTGATATATGTAGATTACACACCATGCTGGCTAGTCAAATTAACATCTTAACAAAATTCATTAATACAACAACATAAAATATAGGGCAACAGCACTGATCACCATTAAATATAGGGTAACAGCACTGATCACCATTAAATATAGGATAACAATACTGATCACCATTAAAACTATTTACCCGACATTTACCACCTTTGGATATAGGCCAAAAATATTATTTATTAATTTATTTACCTAGCTCGTAGCTAAGCTGAGAAAACTTTGAACAACCACAGGAAGATCGATATCTGTAACATCTGTGTAACGGCACGTCATAGGCAACTCGATCGCCCGCACTAGTACACATCGCACACACTATTTAATATAACATGGATATTACGTAAAGAGATGCACTTTATAACGCGTGGCTCATGTTTAATAATTTTACAGTATGTAATACAATTATTCACCTTAGAAAAAGACGTTGATTCAAACCCCTGATAAACTAGAATTGAATATCTTTTTAAGCAATAGTGCATGACTATTTCTTTGCAAGTGTCATTGTTTGTGGCTTCTGAAGGGAATACTTGTGAAGTAGTTAAGAACAATATGGAAATACATTAATCATAGCGTTAACAAATGGGATGGAAAATAAAAGTGGATACGAACAAAACAACCATAAGAATTGTGGAGACATCGGAACGAAGCGAAATACACAATGAACACCACGAGGCGAAATCCTGAAATGCATTTTTTTACCTGATGGTCATAATTCCAAGAAAGTATTACGTCACCAAGAATTTAAGACAGATTGGATATAATAAATAACTTAAGTCGTTATAACGTCAGTGAGTTTTCAGTTATATGAACATGAACCTATAACCTGTATTGGCCACCAGGAAACATTTACCTAGAAAATCCTTATCAAATGTCCAGGAGTTATGAATCATCCGGGACATAAAACTTACATCAACGGTCTATAAAGAGTGGTAACGGTTTGAACAGCAAAGTTGTTGCTAATGACGTAACCACGTGGTGTTGAAATGAAGCTAAAACAAGTCGAGTAACTCGTATCTAGTTACAAAATAATTCGGAAAATTAACGAAAGGAAATAAGATTTCGAAATATTCTGGTAAAAAAATAATCAAGATACGTCATAACGTAATATGTGAAATGCATAAAGGAAGAATACATACCTAGGATCAAACCTGTCTTTATCATATCCTTTGATCACCCAGTAGCTACGATTACGGTGTATCGGATGTCCAACAATACATAATGGCCGGTAATTTAAACTTAATAGTTTCGGTGTTACGTTGTCTTATATGCTCGCACTATTACAGCATTGCTCCATTAAACAATATATTACTAAACCACAGAATTGGACAGAACTGTTAAATACACAAGCGTTGATCATAGGCAATAGGCGCATAGAAATAAAATGTATAGTTAGCATAGAGAAATTAAGCTCTGTAGTATCTTTTTCAAGAGTGAACAAATAGGTCGATGATTAAGCGTCCTCTAAAGTAGACCTAACGTGTCGGTTCTAATTGTTAAAGAAATTCAGTCAGTCAAGTAAGTTGTCATTGATATCAGTGACATGCCCATTTCTCACCTCGTGTAGAGACTGCTGTGCTGTATTTAATATGTGTGTGCCTAGGGCAAGCAGACAAATCATTCAGTGCATTAGATTCCATTAACCATAAAAGCCTGCAGGTCATATTGAAATTGAGTCCTGACTTTGTTGTCATTTTGTGTTGATTTCCAAATCGTCTATGAATTCTGATATTGCCTTTGTGTGATGATTTATCTATCGACTTTGAATTCTGATATTTTCTGTGTTGGGGCTGTGGTATATGCATTTTTGTCTCAAATCGGAACTACATTCCTAGGAGAGAAAATCTGATTTCGACGATGAATGTCGAGGTTGGACGCAAAATTATGTTTTATCAACTTCGTTTATCAAGCTGAAAATACTTGCTTCATTGGAAATGGAAACAAGATTCAGATGCTGAAAACTACAAGTTACCGTCTTTGATCTATTTGTACATCTGTATGCTTTAATGTATTAATAAACAGCTAACATGATAAAGAATCAAACGTCAAAATAAAAGCGAGCGCCATATGTAGCCACGTATTCCAATCAATACTAACAAACTAACCTACCTCTGGTCCGGAGTTAGTCCCACCGACTATCACTGCCCTATACTCCTGCCACGCGGTAATGTTTCATTATTAATCCACATGTAGTCTAAATAAAACATTTACACGTCGGAATAAAAAACCTCCATTGCCTGGTTCGATTACTACATGCTAGTATTTTCAGTGTCAGAAGTCATGTCGGAATTGTATTTAATACGGCTTGGCGAAAATAGCAAGCCTGCGTGTCAAAGTAGAAGATCGTATGAGCAGTCCGTTGTGCGCAGGATTAAGACCGATCTATTGTACATTTCCTATACACGGTGTAATATTGAATAGAGATATATCAACAAGGGTTTTCTCCATGTACATGTACGCCACCGATCACACGTGTATATTGTCTTGGTAGGGTATGTATTCTATATGATAACTTACAATGTTCAATCAACCGTAACTTAACCAGAAATCGATTAACTTATACACTAACCCATATGCAAATACTGTATGGAAGACCATTATGTACGTGTGTATTTAATTGACTGTGGGTATTATGCAACGTATGCAAATGTCATTATATGAATAGACGTAGATAAACAATAGTCTTGGCGGTTGTTTTATTACGATATAATCTGATAATTTAGTCGAATATGCAATATTTTAGACAGTATGAAATCGATAAAGTTTGTAATAGCTTAGTTATTGTAAGTGTTTAAAATACCTATGATACGTTTTGTATAATAATAAATAGCCTCGGCACACAAGGATAAAGAGGCTATTGTAATAAATAGCCTCGGCACACAAGGATAAAGAGGCTATTCTAATAAATAGCCTCGGCACACAAGAATAAAGAGGCTATTATAATAAATCGCCTCGGCACACAAGAATAAAGAGGCTATTATAATAAATAGCCTCCGCACACAAGGATAAAGAGGCTATTATAATAAATAGTCTCGGCACACAAGGATAAAGAGGCTATTATAATAAATAGCCTCGGCACACAAGAATAAAGAGGCTATTATAATAAATAGCCTCGGCACACAAGGTATAGAGGCTATTATAATTAACAAATACTGGCGAAACATCAAAGGAAACAATCAACATCACCCCCACTCTAAAAAAAACTATGAAAACGAATCTAGGTGTTCGAGGAGAGAAGCATTTTTTTTTTACACAAGGTACACCGGACATGATGTGTCCTTTCAAATCCAGGAAACTTTATATATCATCTACGATATCAGACAAAATGAACAAGTTCTCATTTATGATACTCTACGAAATTTCAAAGCTATAAAACGACCGAAGAAACTCAGGTTTTACAGCGTAGAATAAAGCCCGTCACGTAGACAACCCTGAGTAAATAGTTTACTGGCCAACAGGACTCTTTTAGAAAGTCCCGTAACTTTAATTAAGCATTGAACTGTTTTTGTATGGTATTTATGATATATTTGAATGACACAGCTTTGCAAGCAAACAACATAATGCGCGCTAGCAGTTGATAAACAGTTGAGTGTTTTCAAATTGATTCAGTTATTTACTACTCAAAACATTAAGGAATTGAATAAATTAGGAAAATTCCTGTTTTTAAGTTTAAAACGTCGTAATAGCACTGTATAATATTTTATCTCATTTTTCCTGTAAATGTTCATTTCAGTATACCATATTTGATAAGATATTTGTATTATGTGTATATTGTGTAAAAAAAAAGAAAATTGTGCCCGTTCATTACCTTTCCTATGTGATATAAATTATATGGTAAATTAATCATAATTAACAACGTCGAAACATCGACGAGTATTTTCTATATCGTAATATCACTGTCACTAACGTTAGGTGTAACATCGTATTTATTACACTAGGGCAGTGTATTTTATTGTTTTTTACTGTTCTACTAGAGAGTATTTATTCGTGATATATGTGCGATACAATGTATGTAACTATTTTAATCCAGTTATCATTACCTGTATTATTGAAAGTTATACTATTGTTATGATTTCACTGTATCGGAACCTTACGATGTTGGTGCATTTCAGTGTAAAATGCTGTCTCTTATTATATGTCATTTTGAAGTACTGCACGATTAATGACTATTATTGTATACATGTATCATTGTAAATTTGTAATATACAATGTACTGTACTATTTGTATGTCTACTCTCCGATGTGTGTTACACAAGGAACAAAACAATCTGAATCTGAATCTGAGCCATTCATTGCCAATGCGATGTCAGCAAGTCTCAAAGATAAAATAAAAGTAAACAAAACCCGCTCTTCTATGTGTAAATCCTGTTATAAGAAACCCGATTTTTCGTTAATGATGTCTGCGTTATAAAACCTGAATAATTTCGATACCAATATTGTCAACATTATTTGCAAAAGAAGGAAACGCTGTTGTTACGTGCCGCTGGTCCCGACTTGACACTAGAAATACCGTTCTCAATGAATGTCATATGCATGTTTTATTTTCTATTTAATGTATCAATAACGTCCCAATATCTTAATTATAATTAATAGTGAACAAACCAGCCCATCGTCTCCCGAAACATGTGAATGACATTCAACATTCCAACGTCTAAACTTTTATGATTTAGCATTTTTTATTTCGTAAAAGACGTTTATAGTTTGTTTGTATCTGTCATAATAAAAAAACGCTTATTAGCAAAAAGAGCACTTATTTGTCTAATACGAAACGATAATAGACTTCATCCACATAATGAATTGCCGGAAGTCTATGGAATCTGCCCCACGTAGTCTATGGGTCTCGACTGGTATGTATAACTATTGGTGTCATCTTAGAGAAAATAAATGTTTGTTTTAGTACCGATGTCTGTAAATGGTTGTTTTAGTACGGATGTCTGTAAATGGTTGTTTTAGTACCGATGTCTGTAAATGTTTGTTAAAATACGTATGTTTGTGAATGGTTATTTAAGTTCGTATGCATGTAAATATATGTTTTAGTACGGATTAAGTTTTGGTATGAATGCGTGTTAATGATTGTTTTAGAGTCCCTGTCCCGCTGGACCTAGATATAACAGTAGCCCAATTAGGCAGCGCAGTTCTGTTGACCAGGAGGCTTAAACGGTTAGAGCGAAAGCATAACAATCTGAGATGATTTACACCCAAACACTGTTGTTGATCATATTGTGTTCATTTCACCTTTATCATTTCTCATAATGTCCCGCAAGGTACGGTTGTTACAGACTTCCAACTGCTGGGCCCCTCGTTTCCACCGATGAGTTCTAGAAGGTCAAACAAGCTGTATGGTGAAGTGTAATTCAATCATTGTTGGCATACTGCATCAATTATTAAATTTTACAGATGCAATTACGTGTGTATGTTACATTCCTATGTGAGGTTGAATCGAATATTCAGTTGAATATGAAACTCTTCCTCTACACGTCTCCTGTAGTAATTATATGTCAAATGTCTCCAGTACAGAAAGTACGTCAGATAAGCTCGTAAATGTATACTCTGACACATTCATAATTTTCTGTCCAATCATTCTGTCATCGCGGACAGTTTATATCACCTTGCCACCCTCCACGACAACCCTTAATAGTAATGATAAATGAAATACTTGTAAACAATAATCGCTGTCTTCATTTGCTTGTATTCACAGCTTTTGTTTTCATTAACATGCGTTCTTTTAAAAGTTGGTGGTTGGAGTTTTGTTTTCATTAACATGCGGTATTTTAAAAGTTGGTGGTTGGAGTTTTGTTTTCATTTACATGCGTTCTTTTGATGGTTGGTGGTTCGAGTTTTGCTTTCATTAACATGCGGTATTTTAATAGTTGGTGGTTGGAGTTTTGTTTTCATTAACATGCGTTTTTTTGATAGTTGGTGGTTGAAGTTTTGTTTTCATTAGCATGCGTTCTTTTAATAGTTGGTGGTTTGAGTTTTCTTTTCATCAACATGCGTTCTTTTGATAGTTGGTCGTTGGAGTTTTGTTTTCATTAACATGCGGTATTTTAATAGTTGGTGGTTGGAGTTTTGTTTTCATTAACATGCGTTTTTTTGATAGTTGGTGGTTGGAGTTTTGTTTTCATTAACATGCGGTATTTTAATAGTTGGTGATTGGAGTTTTGTTTTCATTAACATGCGTTCTTTTAATGGTTGGTGGTTGGAGTTTTGTTTTCATTAGCATGCGTTCTTTTAATAGTTGGTGGTTTGAGGTTTCTTTTCATTAACATGCGTTCTTTTAATAGATGGTGGTTGGAGTTTTGTTTTCATTAGCATGCGTTCTTTTAATAGTTGGTGGTTGGAGTTTTGTTTTCATTAACATGCGGTCTTTTGATGGTTGGAGGTTGGAGTTTTGTTTTCATTAGCATGCGTTCTTTTAATAGTTGGTGGTTGGATTTTTGTTTTCATTAACATGCGTTCTTTTGATGGTTGGTGGTTGGAGTTTTGTTTTCATCAACATGCGTTCTTTTGATAGTTGGTCGTTGGAGTTTTGTTTTCATTAACATGCGGTCTTTTTATAGTTGGTGGTTGGAGTTTTGTTTTCATTAACATGCGGTATTTTTATAGTTGGTGGTTGGAGTTTTGTTTTCATAAACATGCGTTCTTTTGATAGTTGATGGTTGGAGTTTTGTTTTCATTAACATGCGTTCTTTTAATAGTTGGTGGTTGGAGTTTTGTTTTCATTAACATGCGTTCTTTTGATAGTTGGTGGTTGCAGTTTTGTTTTCATTTACATGCGTTCTTTTAATAGTTGGTGGTTTGAGTTTTCTTTTCATTTACATGCGTTCTTTTAATAGTTGGTGGTTTGAGGTTTGTTTTCATCAACATGCGTTCTTTTGATAGTTGGTGGTTTGAGTTTTGTTTTCATTTACATGCGTTCTTTTAATAGTTGGTGGTTTGAGTTTCCTTTTCATCAACATGCGGTATTTTAATAGTTGGTGGTTGGAGTTTTGTTTTCATTAACATGCGTTCTTTTAATAGTTGGTGGTTGGAGTTTTCTTTTCATCAACATGCGTTCTTTTGATAGTTGGTGGTTTGATTTTTGTTAATAGTAGGTGGTTTGAGGTTTCTTTAAATTAACATGCGTTCTTTTAATAGTTGGTGGTTGGAGTTTTCTTTTCATCAACATGCGTTCTTCTGATAGTTGGTGGTTTGAGTTTTCTTTTCATCAACATGCGTTCTTTTAATAGTTGGTGGTTTGAGTTTTCTTTTCATCAACATGCGTTCTTTTGATAGTTGGTGGTTTGAGTTTTGTTTTCATCAACATTCGTTCTTTTAATAGTAGGTGGTTTGAGGTTTCTTTAAATTAACATGCGTTCTTTTAATAGTTGGTGGTTGGAGTTTTCTTTTCATCAACATGCGTTCTTCTGATAGTTGGTGGTTTGAGTTTTCTTTTCATCAACATGCGTTCTTTTAA